CCAACATTACTGAGGCCTGCAAAGAATGTCCAGCAAAGACAGAATGGGGGACCCAGAGTCTCTGCCCCAATCTGGAGCTCAGGCTGGGGGGATATGGAAAGCCTTCCAGCATCTCCCAGATTCTGGAAATGCCATAAGAGTGGCATGGAGCCTCTGGAGCAGGGTCACCGCAGACTTGCTTTGGGGAAGAAGCAAAGGTGCCCGAATCGGAGCTAGTGGGATCACAGCTGAGGAGGGGTCATTTCAGGCATCCCTGCCTCCTAGGCAAGGTTCTGCAGAGGGACAGCTCCCTTCCAGCCTTCCTATGAGCAGCTCTTCGGGGCCATCTACAAACTTGTTCCTCCTCACAGCTGTCTGGGGCCAAGGAGACTCCAGGTGAAGAAAGAGATACCTAGGAGAGGTTTAGCCTGAGCTTACAGGGGTCCACAGCATGAGGCCCTTGGCTCTTGCCTTCAGTGAGCTCTCAAGACTTTCAAATAGACAAACCTCTCCTGTCCTGTCCTCTCCTCTTCTGTCTTCTCCTCTCCTCTGTTGGCACTGGAAATGTTGACATTGTGGCTTCTCTGTAATCAGATATGATTTTACAGGAAGTAGCTTCAAGAGGACCTGGTGATAGGGACAATGCTGTGTTTTGTTCACTGAAGTCCCCAGGGCTTTTAGCAAATAAGACACCATCACATGGCCTTAGGCCTGGAGGAAACAGGTGAGGAGTTGCTTCTCACCTCTGACCCCAGGAGAGATCCCATCATGTGTCACAGGCCACCAGAGGCTCTCCACGGTCATCCTTTCCATAGCCTCATCTCTGTGCATGACTGTAGACTCCAGACCCACCCCTCTGGGCTTCCTGTAACCTTTAAGCTTTTCCCAGAAGGAACAATCATACTCCCAATATCTCTCATCTGAAGGCTGATAGACCTTTGTCCTCTTGAGTTCTTTGTTACATTTAACCTAAACTCCTTTTGCTATAAATGATGAAAGGTCAGGTAAGGCCTAGAGATAGCTAACACCGGCAAAAATAACACGTGGAGGCCATGAGGATGTGCACCACTAATTCTAAAAACAAAAGCAAGCAGCCAGCCCTGACTCCCTCTCAGAGAAGCATAAAGGAGGAGGCTTGGCTTTGTGTAAGGAGCTGGACTCCGCAAAATCCCAGGCCTGGGAGCAGTCTGTGTTCCTTCTCCTTTTAAGGCAAGGTCTGAGCTCCGGGGCTGCGCTTGCTCCAACACGCCACAGCCCCATTCTTTCCTGGCTATTTGGAGAAAAGCAGTGATTAATCAACATTTCCCCACCCCCCACTCAGCCTGTTTCACATTTGGTTCTTTCTAAAGTGTTGGCACACCTCTTGGTAGATCTCAGTCAACCTAGACCACAACTCAGGGATATAACTGGACAATTGGCAGCTGGTGCCTGATGAGGCCAAAGGGGAGAGGTCAGGATGTGAGGTCTGGGAAGAGAAAGAGTTAAAATGTAGAGATCAAGCTTGGGGGTTCTGGGTAGGAGCCTGGTCTTCTGGGGTGAGAGGTGGGGTGATTGGTGAGGCTCTGTGGGTGGTGTGGTAAGAGGAGTATGGAGCAGGCAGGCAGGAAGGCTTGACCCTTAATTTTTTTTATTACAGTTTATTCACTTTGTATCCCAACTATAGCCCCCTCCCTCATCCCTTCCCAATCCCACCCTCCCTCCCTTTTCTACTCCAGTCCACTGATAGGGGAAGTCCTCCTCTCCTTCTGTCAGGTCAGATACTCTTGCATTGACTTGATGGCTGCTAATGAGAGAGTTGGGCCTCGGCCTGGCCAGTGCAGTTGGTTGTCTTCTCTGTGGATCTCAGCCTCCCTTGAAGGCAAGCCTGTGGGCTGAGCAGTTTGGGCCTTCTGGAGAGGTGGTTTGAGCAGTGGATGGGCACATCCAGGGAACAGAGAGAGAAAGGAAGGTAGCAGGCTCTGTCCCAGGCCAGAGCTCCTGAGCTTCCCTCAAGAGGCTGTCTGAGCCAGTGCTTTCCACCAAGTTCCACAATGAGAGGGAGGCCTTATGGGCCTGGTGAGATGGGATAAGAGAAATGACTCGCAGGCTAATCTAAGGAGGTCTTATAAAGGTACCCCAAATGGAAAGCTGCTCCAGGTAATCTGATGGGCCAGACCCAGCTCCCTGGGAAGCCAGAGTGAGAACAGAGGTGCTCCGATCCACCTCCCAGCTCCGGTGACACTCAGTACAGCTGTACTCTGGGCTTAAGGTTGAAAGGGGCACAGTCCAAGGCCCAAGGGCTAGACCTCCAGCCCTTGCCTGCCTATTGTGATTGTGGCAGAGAAGTCAAGGAAATCCCCAGCTGTTCCCTCGTAGCAATACAGGCACAAACTGCTTCCACGGGATCAACCTCTTCTCTATCCCCTCTGGGAAGGGTGGGGGTAAGAAAGGGCTGCATGGCCAGAGAATGCCTTGGAGTGTCGCTCTTCCAAACCCTGCCTCTCTCTCTTCCTACACTCCTGCTGGGCAAACCCAAAAGAAAGAAGCCCGTCCTGGTATTATCTTCATAATAAATAAAAGCCATAGAGCAGGAAAGGCATCCCTTGGTGACCCAGTTGCTCTGGGCTCTCCGTCCTAACACTAGTTAAACAGCCTGTCTCATGTGGGGCAGTCTCCCCAGACTGAGAAATGAGAAGCAAGTGCTGTGAAAATGGGCGCTGACTTACAACTCTACTGTAGAGGGAGAAAGAGGGCTCTGTGAAGGGGCTGGGTGGCCGGTGCTGCCTGCAACGCCGAGCTTCTTCCATCTTCAGATGATTCCATCCCACGACCTCTCCAGGCAACATCACGGAGTCACAGACTTCTAGATCCCAAGTGTGGCAGGCTCCCACATTGAATTCCAGAGTTCTGTACAGAGAGGGCCTTGTTCCTGGCAAAGCTCTTTTTTTTTTTTTTTGGACAGGATTTTTTACTATGTAGCCCTAGGTAGCCTAGAACTCACTACATAGACCAGGCTGACTTCAAACTCACAGAGATTTGCCTGTCTCTGACTCCCTAGTACTGAAACTGGAGATGTGTGCCACCATGCTTGGCCCTATAAAGTTCTTACCAAACAATAGAGACAACAAAACGTGAACTGTAAAGAGGACACACATTTGATGGAAAGGTTCAGTTCTATCATAGCTACTTAACTGAGTGGTTCCTAATTTATTTCAAAGATTACACACACGTGTGTACATGCAAATATACCCATTCAGTGGTGGAGAGAATATAAATTTAGCAATATCCTTGGTTGGTAAAAGAAAAGATTAGCAACACTATCTTGATCATTCCAACAGTTTTCTTCTTTTGCAAATGTATTGACTTCAGGGTATTACAAATGCATTGACTGAGGGTATAGCTTGGTGGCAAGAACACCCACCTAGCATGTACACCTAGCATGATAAAGATTGATCTTTATCAGCACAGACACACACACACACACACACACACACACACACACACATGCACACACACACATACACACTTACAAAATTCAGTATTCAAAGTCTTTGACTCCACAGGGAGCAGGGCTGGATTAGAATGAAGGATATGAAGTACTCAATATGAATGCAGAATAAATACAAAGGGTACAAACACTCAAGGAGTCAAATAACTGACATTTAATGCATTTAATTTATTATTATTATTATTTTATAGCATGTGTGTACGTGTGTGTGTGTGTGTGTGTGTGTGTGTGTGTGTGTGTGTGTGTTGCTAAGGATCAAACCTAGGGCCTTGCACATGGTCAGAGGACAACTTTTAGGAACTGGTTTCCTTCATCATGGGATCTGGGGATCAAAAGATGTCAGAGCCTTTGCCTCTAAATCGTCTTGCTAGCCTCCTAAATGTACATACAACATAAAATTGGGGCTAGAGAAATGACTCAGTAGCTAAGAACACCTGGAGTCTTGGCCAGGCATGGCTGGGCACAGCTTTAATCTTGGAGGAAGAGGAGGTGGATCTCTGTGATTTTCAGGGCAGTCTGGCCTGCATATCAAGTTCTAGGCCAGCTAGAACTACATAGTGAGACCCTGTGTCAACATCCAACTCCACCCCTTCAGGAAGCAAAGGGCACTGGCTGCTGGGTTGCAATCCCAGGGGATCCAATGCCCTCTTCTGCCCTCTGTGGGAACTGCAGGCATGTGGGAGTACATACAAACATGTAGGCAAACAGTCAAACGCAAAAAAGGTCTTGTTTGTTTGTTTTTTGTTTGTTTTTCAAGGCAGGGCTTCTCTGTGTGTAGCTGTGACTGTCTTGAAACTCACTCTGTAGACCAGGCTGGCCTTGATCCACCTGCCTCTGCCTCCCAAGTGTTGGGATTAAAGGTGTGAGTCACCACAACCCACCATAAATAAGTCTTTAGAAATTATCTTACAGTATTTTATGTGTATAGGCATTTTGCCCACATATCTGTATGTCTGTGCCTGGTACCCAGGAGGCCAAAGAAGAATATCTGAAGTGACACATGCTTGTTGGACTCCATGTGGGTGCCGGACATTGAACCTGGGTCCTCTGGAAGAACAATTATTTTTCTTAACCCCTGAGCTGTCTTTCCAGACCAATAAATCTTTAAAAAATAAGATATATGCAAACAGTTATATTTAACTATAAGCATTCAACACTATAAACAAGATAGCACTAGCATGAGTGGTTTTCTCCTTCGCCTCAGTTTACCATGTGTGTAGCAGGAAACTAAATTTTTCACCTAAGACAGAAAAGGTCTAAGAATGCCGTATGCAGGAGCTGTGCTCTCCACAGGTGATCTTTTGCACATGGCCAAACCCTGAGACAATGAGACTGACGTCATTCACTCTCTGAGGCCAGATGCTGGTACTGCCCCTACAGAACTCAAGAGAGGCAGGCTGTCAACCTTCCCCAATCAAATGTCCTTTAGAGACTCAAGGGCACTTACACAAGCCCTCCCTGGCTGGTCCCCACACCCACTGTCCTCCCTCTGTAGCCAGATCTGCATGTTTTTTTTTCTTTTCTGAATTCTTAGGAAAGCAAGCAAGTGGGGAGAAAGACAGATGCCAAGAATGGAGAGGAAAAGGGCAGCGATGCCAGCAGAAAGGCCCTAGGTCCCAGACAGGACTCAGACCTGGGCAAGGAGCCGAAGAAGGGTGTTTTAAAGAAAAGCTTCTCCAGGGATCGAGAGGAGACTGATGCCAGAGGGGGTGAAAAGCCCAAGGAGGAAAAGGTCATCAGGGGCATTGACAAGGGCCGGGTCAGGGCTGCAGTGGACAGGAAGGAGGCTGGGAAGGATGGCAGAGAAGAAAGGGCGGCCACCATGAAGAAAGAAGAAGAGAAGACAGGGAGTGTCAGGAACACAGGGTTGAGCAGAGACAAAGACAAGAAGAGAGAAGAGGTAAAGGAGGCCAGCAAGAAAGAGGAGGAGAAGCTAACAGCAGAGAGCAGGAACACAGTCTCCCAAAGAGAGGACAGGAGGCTGAAAAAGACAAGTGAGAACACGGACAAGAAACCAGAGGATGAGGGCATAGGAAGTGGGATCAGAAACAAGAGAAAGGAGGATGAAGTTAAGAAGGAAGAGAACCGACTTGACAAGGAGGTCAGGGAAGAGATCGAGACCAAAGCCACAGAGAAGCAGGCCCTCAGTGGCCCCAGCAAGCCCTCAAATGGGCAAGCCAGAGCAGAGGAGGAAACAGCTCCCAGCATATTTGATGAACCTCTGGAGAGAGTGAAGAACAACGACCCAGAGATGACTGAAGTGAACGTCAACAACTCAGACTGTATCACCAATGAAATCCTGGTCCGGTTTACTGAGGCCTTGGAGTTCAACACTGTGGTCAAGGTGTTTGCCTTGGCCAATACTCGGGCTGATGACCATGTGGCCTTTGCCATTGCCATAATGCTCAAGGCCAATAAGACCATCACTAGCCTCAACCTGGACTCCAACCACATCACTGGCAAAGGCATCCTGGCTATCTTCCGGGCCCTGCTCCAGAACAACACGCTGACGGAGCTGCGTTTTCACAACCAGAGGCACATCTGTGGGGGCAAGACTGAGATGGAGATTGCCAAGCTCCTCAAGGAGAACACCACCCTGCTCAAGCTGGGCTACCATTTTGAGCTGGCCGGGCCACGGATGACCGTCACCAACCTGCTTAGCCGCAACATGGACAAGCAGCGACAGAAACGGCTGCAAGAGCAAAAGCAGGCCCAGGAAGCCAGGGGAGAGAAGAAGGACCGGCTGGAAGTACCCAAAGTTGGGGCTCTGGCCAAGGGCTCCCCCAAAACTTCACCACAACCATCTCCAAAGCCTGCACCCAAGAACTCACCCAAGAAAGAGGGTGCTCCAGCTGCTCCCCCTCCTCCTCCCCCTCCCCTGGCCCCGCCCCTTATCATGGAGAATCTAAAGAACTCACTCTCACCAGCTACCCAGAGGAAGATGGGAGACAAAGTGCTCCCTGCCCAGGAGAAGAACTCACGTGACCAGCTCCTAGCTGCCATCCGTTCCAGCAACCTTAAGCAGCTGAAGAAGGCAAGTGGTGGTGGGCACAGCTGTGGGGCCAGGACAGTCCTAGGCTTGTGGAGAAGGTGGGGTACAGAGGGGACATGTCAGATAAGAGTACAGAGCCCCTGTCAGATGCAGGGCCTCAGACTACCAGGCCCTGTCAGCCATCCAGCCTCCAACAGACCACTTTGTCTTTCTTGGAGGCAAGACAGCTTTCAGGCTCTTCCTCTGGACCCCCACTTCCCACTCCTGCCTCCTCCCCTGTAGTGAAACTTGCTTCCTCTAGGAATGGAGAAGTGGCCTCCATTTGCAAGGCTGTCACAGGCCATGCCTGCAGGCTTTTTTTTTTTTTCCTTCCCTTTTCTCTATTTTTTTTTTTTTCAAACAAAAATCATCTTTGTTCTATTCTGTCTACTCTCAGGATCAGCCCAAGTCTGCAGTCCAGTCTACCGTAAAGGTCACCTTTTGGGGGAGTCTACTTTTAACTACCAGTGCCTTGGACACACAACTCTCCCTATATCTCTTTATTCTCACCTACTTGCCTCCCCGGAAGTTCTACTTGAAGGACAGTGTCCAAGCTGTTTGCCTTCCTGATTGGATACTCTATTTTCCTTATCATCATTTGTGACTAAAGACCAAAACCTACAGGGAAACCCAGCTGCAATCCAGAGGCTGCTGGCTGACATCTGGTTTTACAGAAAGGAGAAATGTCCCCTTGCTGTCAGCACATCATGTGCTCACCCCACAGACACACACTGGGGTGCTGGGTGCTACCCTTTTGCAGGGAAGGAAAGTAAGTTACACAGTTACACTCTAGGACACCCTGCTGGACTCCCCAAGCTAACCCATCTCTGCTTTGCCTTACAGGTAGAAGTACCCAAGCTGCTTCAATAGGACCAGGCATCCAGGCACTTGGTGCCAATGCCATGCCTGCCTAGACTGTTGTCCCAGGGCTCCACACAGACCCCCACCACCCAACCCTGGCTGAGCTGTTGCAGCTCTCCCTGTCCACTGTGGGAGAGCTCAAGACCTGGGCCACGCTCAAGGGAGGACACCTCATCTCTTCTCACCTTCCTTTGCTTGTCTCTGAGGCTCCCCAAAAGTTGCTTTGAAACCTGGAGCTGAAGTTTCAGACAAGAGGAGTCCTTTTAGCATGTTACAGAGAAGATGGCACTGCCCGGAGCCCAGGAGCAGGCATGCTGCCAAAGGCTTAGGATGCAGAAAAGGTGTGTCTCAGAGACCACATATCCACCCCAGCCTCAATGCCACCAGGGCCAGGATTCGGGCCTCTGAGGAGCCCTTGGGGCAAAGTTGCTGGGCCAGTGGCACTCTGTGGGTTAATGGTAGAAGGATGGAGGGCATGGGGGTCCAAGGGCAGAGCAGGAGGGCTGAGGATGCTACACACCCCTCCCTCTGATATGCCTGGGCAGCAGGCATAGTTGGACAGTGCCTAAGAGAGAGTAGGTTCCAGATCAGAGTAGGAGACAGACAGCAGCTGGGCCTGAAGGGTTGATGCCAAAGCAGACATTTTCTTCACACCACCCGCTGCTGTATAAATAGCTATATATCTGTTTTTCCATAGGATTTTGATAATATATACAAACCTTTAGCTGCGAGTGGCTATGCCTCATGCTTTTTCATGGGTTAACGGTCCTAATGTTTACTCCAGGTTCCCTTGAAGGCCTCCAAAAGCTCAGGGTCCCCGCCAAACCATTCAAGGTAACCGAGAACATCCTCCCTGGTATCTGGCTAACACTGCAGAAAGGGCAGTATGGGAAGAGCTTGAACTCTTGAGGAGACAAACCCTGAACCTGGTGTTTCAGGTCTGTTCTTCTCCTGTCTTTCTGCATCATATCTGTGCCCAGAACTGTTCTCAGGGGCCAAGAGACACACAGGGCTCGGATGGCTATATTAGGCACGTTCAGCGAAGATCATTCTGTGACTCTTCCTACTGTGGCTCAGGGCCAGCTCGTCACAGAAGTTATAGGCCAAGGAAAGTACAGAGAATCAGGGTGACTCAGCAAGGAGCAGCACCTGCCCACTGTGACTTAGGGCCAGAAGTGCCTGTCCACCCCAGCACAGCCCAGTTGGAGGCAGAGCCGCCCAGCCATCACTGGATGTACATGGAATCTGTTGCCCCAACTAGGGATAAAGCTCAGTGGTAGATCCCATGCCTAGCACGGAGGCCTTGGGTCATAGCCCCATGACTAGCTCTTTCTGACTGATTGGTCTGAAGATGAAACTGCCACCTTGGTCCCAGATCCCAGATTACAAGACAGGTTCTCTGCCTCCTTTCTTTTCTTTTCTTTTCTTTTCTTTCTTTCTTTCTTTCTTTCTTTCTTTCTTTCTTTCTTTCTTTCTTTCTTTCTTTCTTTCTTTTTCTTTCTCTCTTTCTCTCTTTCTCTCTTTCTCTCTTTCTCTCTTTCTCTCTTCCTCTCTTCCTCCCTTCCTCCCTTTCTCTCTTTCTTTTCTTTCTTTTTTCCTCAGTAGCAGAGAGCAAAGCAGTTGGAATATGGGTGGGGTCCCACCTCCCTAAGGAAGCAGGATAGCTGTTCTAGGTCTGGCTAAAATCAGAGAGTGTTGTTGACTTAAACCTCAGGGTATGCTCTGACCCCATTGCTCCCCAACCCACCTGCTGCTTAAGTAACGCACACACACACCTCGCACCGGGCCAATCTTCAACCTTAGAGTCTCCTTTTAAAACCTGTCACCTTTGCACCGTTTTTTACTTAACTGGAAACAAGATTTAGGCTGTGTGGGGGGAGGGTAGGAGTGGGGGGTACACACTCCCTATCTCGGCCTCCCAGAGCCCTCTAGGCCTAGGATGACGTAATCATTTCTAAGCGCGTTTAAACCTGATGCGGAAGCGCAGCGCCACCTCGAGGCAAACTGCGTTCCAGTCTCTCCGGTTCTTCAGAGCAGCTTGGACCTGGAAAGGGCAGCGGAGGTCAAGGGAGAAGACCAGAGATGGGGAAGGACGCTGGCCCCATCCTACGCTACTGTCAGTGCGGTGCCCAGTCCACGGGAGGTGCAGAGGGATTGCTTTCGCTCAGGATCTGCGGGATTCGCAGAAGCATTTCTGCCTGCTCCGCGCTTTCTGCTTTCCCCCTGCCGCAACCGAAACCGCAGTCACGCATCTGGCGTGTTTTCCTTCCTAAAACTGAGGAAGGCCAGAACTAGAAATAGAAAAGATATATCCCCATCTATCATCTACGTTTTACGGGGGGGGGGGGGGGGGGGAAGGTGGGGGGGTGCAGAGAGGCTCAAAGAAAGCAAATGATTCATTCAAGTTGATGAATCGGACTTAACTCCAGGTCCCCCCTGGAAAGCAGGTCATCCAGATCCTGGAGAAGCGACCTCAGCCTCTTCCAGCAGCCTCCTCAGCCGTCTTTCCTATTCTTCCCGGGGTTCCATTCCATGTCTACTGTCCCCAAACTGCTCTCGTTTCGCTCCACTTTCCCTGGCCAGGAGATGGGGTGCTAGGACACGGGTCTGTCTGGCACTGGCCGTACGTGGTCACTGGAGGTTGCTGAGCTATGGCAATCAAAGGGCTCCAGGTCTCAGGGCCGAGCGGAGAACGCCACACTCGCTCGGCCACCGTTGAGAACTAAGATCTGGACATGCGCCAATCACTCAGGACCATGCTTTTCTGGAAAACCAAGTTCTCTTGTCACTGTTTGGAGTACTGAGCACAGCTCCCAGCCCTGACAGCAGATGCTATCCAGCTGAAATCAACCTGGAAGTCAGGCCCCAGGGGTGCTGGATCCATTGGGAGGCCTGCTTGCCCCAAAGCCTTCCCCCTCTTCGAACTCCCTCCCCCAGTCCTCCATACCCTCTTCCTCTCCTTCCCTCCTTCCTTCTTGTCCAGAAGTATTTGCTTGCCCGGCCTCCCTTCTATTCAACTACTGTGCTCCCTCCTTTCTTACTTAACATTTCCATTGGCCCCACTGTATTCCCATCTAGCCCTGGCCCAGAACCCAAACCCCTACCGATCCCTTGGGGCTCTGCACTCCCATCCCAGACAAACACCCACACCTGAACAGGTCCATGTTTGCCTGGGTTTGTGTGTGCTTCAGCTGAGAAGCAAGTCTGGGGCCTCACACAGTGGAAGGTCGATGTTTTTATGTATAAACGCACCCCTCCTCTCCAACTACATCTCCTATACCAGCCCTTAGGCTGTTCGAGGTTTCCTGGCAGCCTAGCAAGGCCCCATTTACATCACTGGGGTCCCCTGGTTCTTAAGGGCCAATGTCTCTCCCTCCACCAGCTCTCCTTGTCTTGCTGAAATGTTTGTGGTTTTCAGGGGTTCTAAGTGAGGGAAAGGGCCTTGCTGGGCTCTGTTTATTCTCAAATGAGACACATACACCCAGTGGGCTGGAAATGAGAGTGTTTGGGGGAGATGGAATGTTATCCTCTCTGAAAAGCCTCCTTCATGTGACAAAACTCTGCAGCTCCCCTCCCCGTCACACCCTGGAAGGCATCTTCTCTCTTCTTAGAATTCTTATTTCCAGTGCACTGCTGTGTTAACTGGAGACAGCCCTTTTCCACCTGCAGCTCTAGTTGGTGTAAATCTGCCTCCTACCCTCTATCACAAAGCAACTTGTCATTGGTCCCAGATTGTTGACTCGATGGCATGAATTTTGTTGGGGCCCTACATACAATATAACATCATTTTCTCCCAAACTTGGAAACTTTATTCTGTACCTCTCCCCATCTTAGGTCCCAGGCAGAGATGATCTTCTGCAGTGTGACCCACTAGCCTCAAAGAGAAAGTGACTTGACAGCTGTGAGCCTAGGATTGTTCCCAGTAGCATCAGCTGCAACTCTGTGACAAGGTTCAGATTCAGAGGGTAAATTCATGTGCCCCAATTTCTCTGAGGATAGGGAAGCTGTGAATTCACTCAGGGCCAGTGCTCTGCCCAAGGGTGTCTATGACCCAGGCCCCAAGGCTCCTGCCTTCTAGGCTATGTGATAAGAGATAATGCCCCTGGGTATGTGGCTACAGAGGGCCTAGGGACATGTCGAGCATAATGGCCCTGCTTAGAACCTAGGGGGTTGCTGGCAGCCAGAAGCCTGAGGCTTCTCCCGGCTTGATTTCCTGAGGGTAGTTGAAAAATAGGGCTGAACCTAGGGAACTAGGAGAAGGGAACATTGAGTAAGTTGACACTCACCCTACTTGAATCAAAACTATTAAAAGTGGTCTTGGAGGGGCTGGGAATATGTGTCAGTGGTTAAGAGCACTGGCTGCTCTTCCAGAGGACCTGAGTTCAATTCCCAGCTCACAATTGTCTTTAACTCCATTTCCAGGTGATCTGACACCCTCACACAGATGAATGCAGGCAAAATACAAATGCACATAAAATAAAATTAAGTAAAAAACATTTAAAAAGTGGTGTGTTTTAGTAGCAGAGCACATAGCCGTCATGCCTGAGGTCCCGGGTCCCATTCCCAGCATTGCCAAACTTCAAAACTCTAGAATCCCCTTCCCTGTGTCTGTCACCAGATGTCTTGAGAGCACAAAGACTATGACCTCAAGGAGCAGAGCCAGGGAAGATGGGCAGACAGTTCTGTGTAGCCACTGCCACTGCCACTGCCGGGCTCCTCTTCTAGGAAGTCTTTGCAGTCCTTATACCTAGCTTCCCTGGACCCTGGCATAGGCCTGAAGGACCTGACACCTTAGCATCCCATGAGGCTCAAGCAATTGACACAAGCGCCTTACACCAGCATGTTGGGTAGCCACAGCTCTGCACTTGGCTCCCGTTCCTGTGCCTCCAATCAGGAAGGAAGGAAGGACGGACTCATAGTTTCAATTCCATTGTATATCACCCTTCTCACAGGAATTACTCCTGTTTTATAGATGAAGACACTGGGGTTTGGAGACATTCAGAAGCATGCTCAAGGTTAGACAGTGGTGAGAGCCAAACTTGAATCTAAGTATATTTGGATGGGGAGGTGCCTTCATACAGCTGGTGGTGCCTCAGATGTCCCAGAGTCCTGGCCCTGAAATGCAGGCCAGTACCCTCTTTCTAGCTGCTACAACTCTACCTCACTCGCTTTTGAAAACAGCCTATGGATCTTTGGGGGTTCCGCCTGGGCTGGAGCTGATAGTGGAGCTCTTGTCCCACTGGTGCTCCCCAACCCCTGCTGTGGAATATGGAGTAGGCAGCAGCCTGGGTTGAGCAGAAGGCATGGCTCAGAGAAGGGGCCAATGATTCCACTAGCATGCATTAGATCATTACAGCTTTAATCCAGGAGGCCTGAGCTCTGGCCAGTGGGGCAGCCAGAGGAAAGGGCTATGGCCAGCTGTTGATAGAGCCCTCCACTATCTCCACTGCATCCCAAAGTGGGCAAGTAGGAGCGGCCCCACCTTTCTGACTGGGATCCTGGGAGCAGAGGGACTACTTGAAAACACACACTGTGACCTAGGTTCTCATCTTACTCCCTGTCTCCCATTAAAAATAGCCCACGAATCCCAAGCCCTCCCTACCCACCCCTCATCCATGGCCTGGTTCCAACTCAGCTCACGTTCCATTTCTCTGGGGCTCTGTCCCCAGCAGGGCCCAGGGCTTGGCTTGATCTGGGGCCTGGTGACTAGAAGACCCATGCCCACCCCCAGGGCTGGATGCAGGTACAGGATGGGGAATCTCCCAAAAAAGGGCATCATGGAAGACACAGCTGTTTCTTCAGGCTCCTGGGTAAGAGGGCTGTGGTGGCATATAGGGGGGAGGAGCTGAAAACCAAGGGGACAGAATAGGTCAGTGGGGCACAGGAGGACAGGAAGTACCCTCCCCCACCCTTTATAGTGCACAGGTCCCATGGGAAGAGATGCCTAGAAGTTCCCAAAAGATATGGAAGGAGCCTGTGAAAGGGAATCTACCAGTGATGGAGGTAAGGGAGGTCCTGGGACAAGGGGTGGGGACAAGCAGGAACAAGGATTCCAGGGTGTGCACTTACCCGCAGGGTTGTAGATTGGGGGTCCTGCTGGGTAGAGAGGGTACTGAGGAGCAGGGCCACTAGGTGGGTACATGAAACCAGGCTGTGGAGGGATAGGAGCAGCTTTGGGGTCCGGGGGGTATTGGTATACTGGCTGCATTGGGATGCCTGTCATCGGAATCTCCTGGCCTAGAAGAGGAACAGGGATCAGCATTTAAACAGCTGCCGTAGAAACCTCCTCCTGTCCAGGAAATCAAGGTGAGCACCCTGGCAACTGCCTGGTAGGCTGCTGGGTAGCCACTTGTAGCCTTTGCCTCCCAAAGCCTGTTTGCCCAGAGTTGAACAGGGAGTCATGTATGAGGCTAAGCAGGTCAGTGTGTGCTGACCAAATCTGTTCCCCTCACAGGTTTCAGAGCCCTCAAGGGGTGAGTCTAGCCCAGGGATGTCCCACTTGGGTAGAAAATGAGCAGCTCCAGACGCTGGCATCTTGTAATACGGCACAGCTGCCACTAAGGGGGTCCTCCTCCAGTCTGCCCCCTCCCCATCTCCCATATGGTGTCATCATATCTATGTTTATCAGGCAGTTACGTGCAACACTCAAATACACACCCAATGTATTGGAACACACCCAATTAAATGTTCGCTACTACAGACCCCACCCCATATACTCGGCCACAGGCATGCTCATGCCTACTGCACGCTTACCATCAACAGATGCATTCCTGCGTGTGATTGGATGTTCACGTGCATGCACATACTAGGACACAATCACGTTTCCATACACTCCTGGACACAGCCCAATACTCGGGGGTTCATCTGCACGAATTCCCGAGTGGCCATGTGCAGGCACAGGGACGCACTCACTACTACAGAAGTCACGGCCCCTCGGCCCCTCAGGTGCCCATCGAGGAGCCATGCCAGCCCGTCTCGGACTCATCTTGCCCAGGACTACGCCTACCTTCAAACGGGCTCTGGAGTTGTTGGCGCCGTCGGTATAGGTAGCAGCAGGAACAGAGGAAGCAGCAGATGGTGGTGGCAACCACAGCAACAAAGAGGATGACAGCAGAAGCGATGCCTGCTATGGTCTTGGGACTTTAGACAAAAAACAGGTCTTCTCACCTTCTAGCACTCATAGAGGAAGTCCTCACCGTGCTGGCTTCCACACTGGCCAGCAGGGAGCCTCAGCATGCTCCGACTTGGGGGTTCCCTGTGGAATTAATTCTGCCCACTGTGTTTGGTAGATCGTAGAGACCTCTACTTTCCAGGAGGCTATGCCGTCTGGCTAGCTAGTATGAGGCATGCTGGAATTTGTAGTGTGTCCCTGCTTTGACATCTACAACTTAATTGATTAGGTTTAAAACCTGTTGGGTTCAAAGGAGCCTTTGAAATAATGTAGAAGCATTATTAACAAATCCCTTATATCTGTTTTATATGTTTGCAGCTCCCTTTAAAAAGTTTAAAACCAGTTAGGCTGGTGGCGCACACCTTAAGTCCCAGCGCTCGGGGAGGCAAAGACAGGCAGATCACTCTGAGTTCGAAGCCAGCCTCATCTACAAATCGAGTCCAGGACAGCCAAGGCTACACAGAGAAAACCTGTCATGAAAAAAAAAAAAGTTTGAAACCCCTAATTTGGAGGCTAGGAGTGTAGCTTAATTGTAGCACGTTGGAATGTATAAGGACCAAAATCCAACCCTCGGCACTGGGCTGAGTTGGGGGAGGAGTAACCAAACCGTTAATTTTGGCAACTCTGTTTTTATTTGTTTGGTTGGTTTTTATTTTTTTAAGACAGGATTTCTCATGTAGCCTTGGCTGTCTTGGACTAACTTTGTAGACAAGGCTGGCCTCGAACTTACAGATATATCTGCCTGCCTCTGCTTCATTGAATGCTCGGATTACAGGCATGTACCACCTTGTCAGGGTAGTTGTTTCATTTTTGAGACAGTTTTACTTTGTAGCCCAGACTGGTCTGAAACTCATGGTGATCCTCCTGCCTCAGCCTCCTGACTGTTGGGATTACAGGGGTGAGCCACCAGGCCTGGCTAGTAACTTCCATATTTTCCATATTCTTTAAAGAGGTAACAATAATCTATAGAGGTCAAGTGTCTTAGCTGGATTACACTGCTAGTAAGAAGCCTGCCCGAGAACAAACCCAAGTCTTCTTGCCCCTAACGCCAGAGCTTCCACAAAGCACTACTCTGCAGTTTGAGTGTTAACCCAGTACTCTCCCTCCCAAGACCTGTCAGGATCCAAGAAGCCTCTGGAAACAGCCCAGGCAAGCCCATGGTAACTAACACCAACCACCCAGCTCTGTCACCATTTGGAGTCCTGGTGACTCCTTCAGCTAAGAATGTGGAGGTGGGCACTGGAGCCAGCAGGAGGCTTCTGGAGAGGGGGTGGAGTGGGAGTCCGCAGCCCACCTGAAGGCTAGGCAGTGCTTCTGCTGTCTTTCGGTGATGAGTAAGGTCAGGTCCCTGCAGCAGTACCGCTGGTAGCAGGTCCCGCAGCAGAAGGTGAAGAACTCGCAGTCGAATCCTGGATGCCAGGAGCCATTCCGGTCCAGATACCACAAGCAGTCTTCACTTGTCAGCGCTGCGGGCAGGGGTGGGGGCGCCCAGTGGACACCAGTCCAATTCAGTTCCGGCCCCCCTCAACGCCACTGCCTTGGGAAGCTGAAAGCTCACTTTTGTTTCCACCCTGAGGGGTTCAGCCTCAAGCCCCAGAAGCCTCTCTCTCCCTGAAGCTGAACCCCGCGCTTGGGGTCAGGTTTCCACTGCCCGACCTCCCAGTGCCCTTTCTTTATGCTTCAGGAGCAACTGCGAAGCATCTGGGGCGCATGGACAACAGGACGGTAGCCTGAGGACAGTCTCTGGGGACACGGCTGGTCCCTTTAACCTCCCCCCATCCCGCCCCACCCCATCCATGCCGTGTTGTTCCCCATCCCTTACCCAGAGGAGCCCCAAGCACCAGCAGGACGACGGCAGCAAGTGGCGCGGCCCCGCGGGGCCCCGCGGGCGGCATGGCGGGAGGGGGCTGGGCGCGGCCAGGACGGCCTGCAAAAGGGGCCGCAGGACAAAGCTGGACGAAGCCGGCCGGCGGGAGCTGCAGCACCGCCCAGCCCGCGGCCAGGCTCTGGCTTCTCTCCCGCCTCCTTGGGGCGGGACTAACGCCCCGCCAGCAGTAACCCTGCCTGGGCCCCGCCCAGGGGTCTGCCCACCAGCGACGCCCACCCGCCTCAGTACCGCTAGGCGCCCCTCACCCCAAGACACAGCCCTGCCCTCCCTGTCCCTGACGATGCGGTGACTTCTCCAGTCTGAGCCCTTAAAGAGTACAGCCAACAGCTGGGCACTGCGGTCAGGCAGGCCTGGCCGTGCCCTGTGCCCGCCCCTCTCCTGAGACCAATCGTTATCCCAGACCCCAGAAACACTGATCCTGGTGCCACCTCTTAATGGCCAGCTTATGGGCCAACTCTGGAGGGGCAGGGCCGCACCTTCCCTTGTGTGGGACCTCCTCTGCTCTAGTATCCAGTCTTGAACGTCAGGGGGAGGACAGGGGCAGAGTCACCCTGCCCCCATTCCTAGAAACAGGCACCCATTGAGAGGAAGTTCAGAGCGGCTTTGTCCCCAGCGGTGCCCACAGGCCTGGGTCCTGGCAGCTGCGCTGGCTCCCTGAGATGGCCCCTTCTCCCTCTGAATGGACAGCTCTCCAACTACGGCCTCACTCCTCCGGGGAGTAGGGGTGGCCCGGGCCACTTGGGACCCATCCAGTTAAACACTTTACAGTGGAAACCTTTTCTTCAGGGTGCAAGCTTGCAAAAATACTGCATTAGCTATCAGAGTCAACAGTCAATTACAGGTGGAGAGTCTCAAGGCAGAAAGTCAAGCTACGGTTACAAAGTCATATCACGTCGTTACAGGACTTAGGGTCATAGCCTGTTCTCCAACAAGCCAGGTGTAGCCTCCATCCCCAATAAGCCAACTCAAGTAACCAAATTAATAGTGACAAACAGAACAAGGGAATTTATTTAACATGGCCACATTGGGAAGAGGTACACGGAAAGCCAATGACACCTTTTCATCCCCTAAGCCAGTTCTTCTCAACCTTTACAATGCTATGACTCTTTAATACCCTCATGTTGTGGTGATCCCCAACCATAAAATTATCTTCGTTGCTACACCATAACTGCAATTTTGCTACTTTTATGAACTGTAATATAATAATATTTGTGTTTTCTGAAGGTCTTAGGTGACCCCTCTGAAAGTATTGTTCTAACTCCGAAGGGGTCACGACCCACAGGTTGAGAACCACTACTCCAGTCCATCTTCAGGGTCCTCCAGGGTCCTCTGAGGGTAAAGTTTAAACAGAAGCTATTTGCCTAACTCAGTGGTCCAGGCAAGGTCTCATTTCCCTGCCCATCACTGTCCAGGTCCTAGGTCTCAGCTCTCTTGCAAGGTTATCACCAGGAGACAAACTTTTCCTCCTATGGCTGCTCCCAGGCCTTCACCAATTCCTCAGCCAGTTAGAGATTCCTGGGGACATTCTGATTTCTTGGGGTTCTTTCTTTCGAGTCTGGCAGCTAAAATGGGAGCACAAGTGTCTTAGTAACAGAATGTCAGTGAGTGTGCTCCACTCTGAATGCAAAATGCTGACCAGGACTACCAGCCGAGTGAGGCAGAACAGCTACCTCTGTCTCCTGCCAGATAAACTCTGAGCGTTATGTGTATGAGTGTTTGCTTGCATGTGTCTATGTGCATCATACACATGCCCAGTGTCCTGGAGAGGGAGCTGCAGTTACTGACAGACACTTGTGAACCGCCACGTGGGTGCTGGGAACCAAACGTGGGTCCTCAGCAAGAGCTCCAAGTACTCTTAACTGCGGAGTCATCCTCAAAGCCCACTTCACAAGGCACTCTAACACTTGGGCACGCACCTCACGTTGCACAACTCCACTAGCTAAGCCATGTCAGTAAACGTTTTTACCAACACAGACTACACCTCAAATATGTTAAAGGTTTAAAGTAAAATGGTTAGTAAATGGTAGTGAAAACAGTAGGTCCTGTGATTTCTAAATAGGTGGGTGTTTACTCACATCTAGACTATGCTGATAACAAATGTTTTTGGTGTTCTTAGTGAGGGAACCAGAGGTCATGGACAGCAAAGCAGATTGTAAATGAATTAGGAAAAGGAAATCACAGGAGAGAGGGAACAAAAGAAGTATACCCCTGCCCCAGGAAACTGTCAGTCACTGGGAGGCTGGCAGGAGTGCGTACTCAACTGGACAGTCATAAATACCACTGCCAAGGACAATTCTTCACTTACTACGACCTCTGCCTCTCCACTGCTGTCCTTCTTTATCCTATAGCATTAACTCCATGAAGGCAAAGGCCCCTGCCACCAAGTGCAGCAAAGGCTGTCCTTCCTATTTGGAGTTGACTCTGCTCTCTGGAGTATGCTTTTGATCCCATTTCACTTGTCTCTGCATTATTTGGTATCTTTAGTTTCTTTCTTTAAAAAACAAAACAAAAAAACTTCATTGTTTTATTGGGGGGTGGGGGGAGAGACACAAGACCAGCAGGCAAATTGTAAGAATTGGCTCTCTCCTTCCATCATGTAGGTTCCAGGGGCTTAACTCAGGTCTTCAGGCTAGGCAACAATTGCCTTTATCAGCAAAGCCACCTCACAGGCTTTTTTTTTTTTTTTTTTTTTTTTTAATACAGCCCGGTCTCGCCTGGAGCTGGAGCTTGGCCTCTAACTCACAGAGATCCAGCTGCTTCTGCCTCCTGACTGCTGGGTTAAAAACACGTACTACCATGCCCAGCTACACCAGCGGTGTTCTGTTTGCAAAATTCTAGGATAGAGGATTAGGAGGATTCAGTGGTTAGGCTGCCCATGCAGGTCAGGACAGTCACGTACACACACCTACAAAGGCAGACAATGGCTGGCCTTGCCTCAAAGCCCCTACTCGTCATACCTTAGGCTGGAGTAAGCACAGTGCCCACCACTTCCCAAGTGGCACTTTTTAGCAGGGGATGCTGAAGCTTAAAAATGAATAGTTAGGCTGAGCTATATTACCACAACAGGCCTGAGTCCTGAGCAGCCATAGAGCAAGGATTGAGGAGTGAAGACTGAGGGCCCTGGAAGAGGCTGTCTAAATCCTGAGCCTTCCCTAATCTTCAAGGAAGGGATGCAGGAGCATTATCCCCTCCAGGCTCCTCATCTGTGACTATGAGACAAAATAAGGCTTAAGCAGTAGGAGGCTCACATGGTGATCAAGACATTAGCCACTAATATTGCAAATGAGCTCATTCCAGTGTACAGACAAGGAAACTGAGCTGGAAGAAGCCAATTCTCTCAGCTTAGTGCTGAGATTTGGAGTTGGCCTTTTGTGACTTCAAAGCCTTGTGTCCATCACCTACTCCTTAAATGTTTAGGGTTGTGCCTGGCATAAAAACTGACTACTTTGGGAAACATGAGTGCCTAGCCTCATTCGGACCAGCCAGGTGCACAAAGTAGAAAGGTAATCAGGACATGTGGAGTAGGAAAAGACTAGACCATGCCTGTGGCCTGAGGCTTAGCTTTAACACTCTTCAGAGTCACTGTGCTTTAGGCTTCATAGCCAGCCCAGGCTTCTCTAAACCCTTCTACGTTCCTGGTCACATCAGAGCCTGAGAGCCACCCTGGGCATTTCTGAGGCACTTCTTACCTCCCCAGGCCCTGGCCCTAGCCTTACCCTGATGTCTGTCCATCAGACTTCTGTCTGGCTATCCTAGTTTGACCTGAACCACTTTTAGATAAACTGTCATTTTCTAATTGCTACTTCTGTTGGTGGCCTTTTCTAGAATACTTCTAGCTACCTGCCCACGTTCTCCACCCAGCTGGCCTCTGGTAACCCAAACCATACAGATAATTACATGTTTCTTCCTTCCGTAGGTCCCTGTGCCCCTAACTGTAATTTGATGTCAGAGCCTTTTAGGAGAGAATTGGACATATTCTCCTTAAGTTCACAGTGAGGAAGAGAAAACTCAGAAAAGCACCAAGAACATGGCCAAGGACATGGCTGAACTGGGCACTGAAGGAACTTGGGTCTCTCCTTGTACCCATGACCCCAGCATAAACAAGCATATCAATTATGTTTTCTCTGGTGTCTAACTTTAATATTTCTTGCTGCAAAAAAGCGTCCTCTACTTTTGTTCTTGTAGTAGTAGGCACCTTTGGGGGGGGGGGTGGCCAGTGTAGGATGTCACCTGCCATCCAGCCCCTCCAGAGGCTTTATAATGTCATCTAGGACTGCCTCTGCAGATGTCAGGCTCCTGCTTGTCTGCAGTGTACTCAGCAACCTGAGCAGAGCTTAGGCAGTTTGGACTCTAGGATGAAAGGGCTGTATGCACTGGCTTAGGTGGTATGAGCAGCCACCTTCTTAGGCAGCCTCAGTCTGGCTTTTAGGAGCTTGCCCAGGCAGTGGGGCATATGGAGAGTGCCAGGTTATCTTTAAATGGCACTTTACTCAGCCTGCAGCTCTGCCAGCTGGGCAGGGTGGAGGCAGACAAGTTATTTTGAGATCTAAGAGTGAGTGGTGAAGGCTGTTTACAGCTCTCCTGTCTGTCCCCTCTCCTGGGAAGAGCTTGGGGCCACCGTACTCAGCTGGGGTTTGTTTTCGCCATCTTAGCACAGATGGCTCTTGAATTTGGATGTACACGACCTTTCTTAACAGGATTGGCTCTAGGTTTAGGTGATGATAATTCCCTTAGAATCAAGATCATACTAACAAGCTAAATTTAATACCGTAAGCCTCACTTCAAAGTGCTTTGTTTTGTACTGACTTTATTTCTTAGTCACTCTGTAGAACAGATACCAATATACCTGTTTGTGGAATTATAACTGTAGACAGTGTATAGCTTGTCCCAAATTACCTAGACTGGCACATGCCCTGCAAGGACTCAAAATCTAGCCTGGCTCCAGGGCCCCCACTCTGAACTGCAAACTATGCTTAAGTCCTGTGCTACCTCCTGACTGCCAACTCAAAGCCACCTGACCCCTCTGGCCTTGGTTCCCTCATGTGGAAACAGGTACAGTCCAGTCAGACCCACTAGAATCCCAAAGCCAGAGCTTAGCGGAGGCACCAGCACACTCTGTCTTTCTCTGCTCTGGAGAGGGCTTAAGGCCACTAATTTTCCCACCAGGCGCGAGAGGACCAAGGGAAACTGCAACACAAAATCAGCATATAGCTTTTTTTTTTTTTTTTTTTTTTGAGACAGGGCTCGATGTGTAGCCCTATCTGTCCTGGAACTCACTCTGTACATTCTATAGTGCAGGCTAGACTTGAAGTCAGATCTGTCTACCCACCCGTCTCTCAAGTGCTGGATTAGAGGTGTGTACCATCACCACCTAGGTGGAAAAAAATTTTTTAATTGAAATACATCAGACTATCCTATTAACTAGTGAGGGAGTTTAGTACAAAACTCTGGGTAAGTGCTCCAGGCCTACTTATTCTGGCTTTAACACATGCTCATGATATGCAACTCACAAGTTCTGGCTTGTGTACATACCCTATGTAGAGAGCTCTTCAGGTATCCCATGCAGCCTTCTCCCAAAGTCCTTCAGTCACCAGGCACTCAGCCAGGATCGGAAGTGTCCTGACCACTCAGGCTTCAGGGAGTCCTACTGTGGGAATCTAGGTCCCTCCACTCCAGGACCTGGGCCTGATTTCAGCTGTGCTTTTCCCCTTTAGATCTACAAGTATGGCTACCTTCAAGTGGTGGTTTTCTACCCTTCAAAACCCACTAAGGTAATGAATTACAAAGAACTCAATTATGTTCTGAGAATGAGAGGTGGTGGGAAAAAGCAACAAAAGCAAATCAATATACCAATAATTTGTCACAGATAACTACAGAAAAACTGCACAGTGGGTGGCAGGTGGGAACTGGGGTCATCACCTGTTTCCATCCTGTTCCCCAGGCAGGTCTACAGAGTTGTCTTCCCAAAGGCTCACCATTGAGCAGAAGCAGCGGCATCTCTGAGGCTGAACTAAGTCACAGTCACATTCAACCAGGCAAGTGGAGCCAAATAAAGCTAGCTCCTGCTCTGTGGTAGGGGTTAGGACTGTTCTCACATTCCGGTAAGCTAGGCATCAGTCCCCCATTTTACAGACAGGGAAACCAAGGTTTACAGGATAGCACTCTGTCCCAGCCCCCTTTCCTGCTATACTGTTATGCTAAGACTTGAAGGGCTTCTTGGGCCTTCTAGTCAGGCCAGTGGCTGTTTTCCTTCTCACTGCATATTTGCCACACAGGCATGAGAGACCTTTTGTAATCAAAACAAAACAAAATGAGATCACTAGCTGGCTGGTGCTGACCTGCATCATCCTCACAAAAAGGCAAATCAGTCACTGATTTTGGAATTTTATTAGCAAGTACTTTTGGCTGCTTGCAACTAGACTCCTCATAAAGCATTAAGATGCAGTGTTCGACTGCCTAAGAGTGGGGCTCTGCATAGATAACTAAGAACAAAATGCTTGGCCTCTTTGCGGCAGAGGAGCTCATAACAGAAAAAACATTTGATAGTTGTCACTTTTGGGAACCTGTCCCTTAGCATCATTAATTAAGCCTCAAGGAGTCATCAACTCAAGTTATAATCTTAGCACATGCTGCAGCTCTTTGACCTAGGTCTGCTGCCAGATGGCATTCCCACCTTTCAGCTTCTCCCCCTTCAGCTCAAACCACTTTCAGTCCCTCTTAGGTGGCCAGTCTTGCTTTCTCTAAAGGAAGCAGGCCTTGTTGGAATCTTCACCATTTGGCTCACTTATCTTTACAGCTTTGTTTCTGGCATAGACTCCAGGTATCACAGTACCTAATATTTTTCTTAGCTGGGTGCTGATAGGGAGAGAAGAACCCTGGGCCTCATGAATGCTAATCAAGTGCTCTACCAGCAAGCTATACTTCAGGCTCCACTCTTTTTTTTTTTTTTTTTTAAAGTCAGGGCTCACTATGTAGCCTTGCTTGGCCTGAAACTTATAGAGATCTGCCTGCTTCTTCCTCCAAAGTGATAGAATTACAGGTGTGTTCTACCATGGCCAGCTCTTTCTAACATTTTTATTGTGTTTATAAAAGCTCTTCAAATGCAAGACCTTATCTTAAATAGTCACCTCTAGAATTTCCTACCCTATCTCTTTGTCTGACTGGAAAATGCATAGGAGGGTAAAAGAAACTATCAATAAATGCAGGCTTCTTGGATGGAAATCTCACATTAGCAGGCATCACTCAACATCTCTGCTTTCCTCAGTCTGCAAAGGGGTAAGGAAAAGGACCTATTTTGCCGGGACAGTAGGTGTAAGGTCATTCACAGATACATTCAACAGCTCTAGCATTTCAGCACGAACTGTGAGCCTTTTGTATGTGCTCTATTAAAGGGTCATCTTATCATGCCACTAACTCAGATCAGCCCCCATTATCACTAGCCCAGTCTTTTTGGGGGAGGGGCGGTGAACACAGCACCTCCAAATAGCACTTGCCTCATTTGTTATTGGTTTCTGATCTCTTAATCAGCTCCCCATGCCCCAGTTCAAGACAAGGTCTCATCATGCAGCCCTTGCTGGCCTGAAACTTGCTCTGTAGGCTACCTGACCTTGGACTCAGATTTGCCTGTCTCTGTCTCTCGAGTGCTGAGATTTCAGGCAGGTACCACCAAGGGGTCCTTGACTAGCTTCTTGAGCAAAGTCGAAGTCACTGGCCTTCTGCATCTAACAGAGGTTTAATATCCACTGAAACTGACAGGAAACAGAACAGCCAGAAATCCATCTTTTATTTCCTTAGGCACAAGAGGTCCACCTGGTAGGCTGGGACAGTGCAATGCTTTTCACTGAATAATCCTTTAACTTGCTTAAGTGCTGTTCTGAGCACAACCTTTTCAGCCACATCACTGCTGTCCCTCAACAGTTTAGGCTTTGGTTGTCCTTTTACAAAGTACTATCATCAGCCAGGATCACAGACAGGGACATAGAAAATCTGCAGCATCCTAGACCATAACCTAGGTCCACAAACCCAGTACTTTAAGGAGGTACACAGAACTCCAATCTTCATGCTTCCTGATAAATGCTGTTGCCACTCCCCTTTTCTTATAAGGACTGATCTACTTGGATCCTAAATGTCAACCTTCCTAGAGGTTTCCTCTCATCTAAAATTTGATCAGTATTCTTTCCATTTTCAGGTCAGTCTCTTGCAAATGGCTTCAAACTTCTTGGAAAGAGTAAGGCATAATAAACCCACTCATCACTGAAGCGAAGGGAGACCCATCACACGCCCTACAAAGGGCTGATTTGTAGTTTGGTTACTTAGTGCATTGACTTTAGCTCTCTAGGCTTTTTGGTGTGGCTAACAGAAACCAAAGCTCGTTTCCATTAGTTTGGCACCACTTGCTCTTTAGCTCACAACCACCATCTCAGTCCCAGTGACTCCTTTCCCTCCTACTGATACTCATCTGCTTGTGGGTTCATGCTTCCTAGTCAGTGACTTGCAGTAACAACTCCTTCTCTTGAGTTTTTTCCCCTGCTTTTTAGCTTTCTAGTGTTTCACTATATCCTGGAAACCCTTCATCAGAGAGCCGGCACCTCTCTTATTAGCTCAGTGGTCTTGATCTTCCAAAAGTGCACCTTACCCTTTTCCCAAATGAAGTTGGCTTTCAGAGAAAAATATATAAGAGCCAGAGTTCAACTTTGTCACACCAACAGTCACCTGATCTTAGGGACACGCTCTTAGCAGAACAGGAATATTCACTGTGTACCTGTTGCAGAAGTTAAATGCTCTGAAAACACAAGCAAGTATCTATCCATCAAGGCTCATAAAAGCCTCTACTCTCAACCAGTCATATGTTGGCCTGGATGGCTTCCTAGGGGAACTAGGAATGCATTTCCTAATGCAAGAGCTTAGCCTTCCCACCAACACTGAAGCATGGGAACAGGATGGGAGGCCCTTTGGACTAACTTTGGCACTAGACATAGAACTGACCAAATCACTGCCCGTGTATGTATGGGGGTCTCCAAGCTTTCTCAAACACAGCAGGTCAGTGCTAATCTGGCATTGTTCTAAAGCATCAAAACCATCGGACAACTTAATTGTGTGGAATGGTCTACTGTTTTTAGCACCAAATCCAATTGGCTTTGAGGTCAACTATGGAGCAAGGTTCCAAAGTTCATACTGTGGTTTTCTGTGGACCACTAGGCAGGTATGTTACCATTTCTCTTTAACAGGAATTTTAACTTCAGGAGGAAAAGCAGCAAGGGCAGAGATAATACTGGTCTCCACACTGCCAGCCAGAAGACAGCTATAACACTTTCTCAGGCTCTTACAAAGAAGGTGGAAATGTTAGTGAAAAGCCTCTGAACTCAAGGCTGAGCACTAAGGACATCAGGTGGTATAGTCAGAAAGAAGCTGCCACACCCTTGGGTTCCATGAAAGGCCTTAAATGCTACACTGTTACCCTTCTGCTTCACACTGGAGGCCAAACATCACTTCCACATTCCCTTTCCTTTTTGTTAGAGCATCACCCCAAAGAAATAGCTCTGGCTATTAAAAATGGAGTATCAGATGTGGGCACTATCACACACAGGAAATATCAGACAATCACTCTGCTCTTAATCTTTACCCTCTCTCTCAATTCATAACACAAGGGAAACCCACTGAGGGATGCCCCTTATTTTTGCAGTACTAGGGACTGAACGCTGGGCCATCTACATGCTGTACCACTGACAGTTTAAACATACTTGAATGAAAAATACCAGTTCTCTAAGATTTCTGAGCTGTCTGCCAAATTACAGAAGGATGCCAAAATAGGCCAAACTTTCTTTTCTTGTTTTTACTTTTCTTCTAGAGGGAATAAACAGAAGGCAGAGATGCTGAGGTACCTTAGAGTATGCAGACTAAATTCATTTGTAAAGATTACTTTACTGTCCTAGAAAAATACATGTTGCAAATTCGAGGGCTACAACTCAAGCACTTTAGGGGATTCCTGAGGGATGGGGTAACCTTAGAATATCGGACTCTGTGGTTATGTGTAGAAGAGGCATATTCAATATAGATGGGTCAGGCAGATTTAGAAATAAAAATCTTTTTCCTGATTTTTTTTTCCCCTAAAAAAAGAAAGACAAGTTGCCATCTGTCTGGCTCACTTTGTGTGTGCATGTATATATGAGGAGCCTGGGGGAGGGGCTGTGTCATGCAATGAAGCAAAGATGGGAAGATGGCTCCTTTGACAGAGGACCTTTAGTGTTGCACGAGGAAAGCATGAAGCTGAGATTACTGGAAAGATTTAGTATGTATCTGCTCCAGCTGGTTCTTAGTGAGAACCTAGAGCATCAATGGCTGAGGGCAGAGAGCACAATGATCTCTCAAGGGGTTCTTATCTGAACACAACAGATGTCCTTTTTCCTGTATTCCCGAGGTGGGATTAAATAATCAGGAACCCATAGTCCTGGGTATCAATGTTTCTGGTCTGGCCAACCGAAGATGCTAGGAATGGAGGGGGCAGAGCTGGGGAGAAAAAGAGTTCCAGACTTGGGGTATCTTCACAGGACTTTGAGAAATGTTCTTTGTTTTAGCTTTTTAAAACATCAGCCCTGGTAAGCAAGAACTGAGTGTCAGTGTCACTGTTGAGGCCAAGGGCCACGAAGCCACTCCAGGTTGAGAAAAAGTGACTCTCAAGGCCAGTGAAGGCTGTAGAATGGCCTGTGGCTGAGCCAGGAGAGGGAACAAAGGTTGAAGACTCCCCTTGTTAGATGCCGATGGTCTGTAGAACCCGCCTCTCGTTGTCATTAAGGTGGCACGAAAACATTATATAACAGGGCTGCTGAGCAAACTGGCAAAGGAAGTCTGTGAGATATGCCTGGAGGAAGAACAAGAGAGGCATTACTAAACATTCCCAGGGCCAGCTGTGAAAAGCAGGATGAGGACCACCAGCAAGTGGTACAGGAATGCTGCCTTTCAAATGCTAGCTTCCTAGGGGTAGCTTTTTACATTCGTGAATGTAATGTACATATAACCCAGTGACAGAATGTCAGAGGGAACCAAAAATATTTCCAAGGCTCCATCTCCTATTTCACTCAGAGAACTTTACGAAGTAGCCTCAAAAGATGGATTATTGCTGGTCCAGACTACTGGATGAAAATCCCAGCACTCCTCACCACCCCATGGCCCTGAGCAATCAGACAGGTAGCAGCCCCACCCCCACCTTTTTGCAGTTCTCATAAAGAACTATGAATGGGCTTGAACCCATAATCTTGCTTCCATGGCTTGAAAGCTATTGTTACTTGTAAGACAGCTTCTGTGGATACCCTTACCTGCAGATCAATCTGATAGAGAGGATCCTTCAGGGCGTCAGGGTCATCTTCCTCATCATCTTCATAGTAATCCTCCTCTGTTAGACATAGCCAACACAAGCGAGTCAGACAGAGGCCCGTGATCAGGCCAGTGTTGGTATTTACAACCACATGGATGAGGCAGAAGGGACAAAAGTCCAAGAAACATCCCTTATAGAGCCCACATCTCCTCATTCTTGAGTAACCCATCCTTGGTACCAGTGTGCAGTATTTACCATACTGTCCTGTCTGAAATGGCTTACCATATTTACTTGTAGCAAGGATGTCAGATAAAAGCTGACCAGCTAAACCGTCCTCCTCCTCCTCCTCCTCTTCCTCTTGGTCCTCCCACATGTCATTGGAATCATCTACATGAAGATGAAAAGCAGCTTAAACAGTCATGCATTTTTCCCTCCCCAAAATGTTTATAGGACAGAACAGAAGGTCCCTAAGGGTTTTGGCAATGTGGGCCACAGTCCCCAAATGTGAAAGAACCAAGAATGGCCAAACCCTCCCAGGGAGTTTGAATGGAAGAACGAAGGCTTTCAAGAAAGGGTAAGGCAGCTTATTTCCTAGCTGACCCCACCTCAACCTCTGAGATTCGATATAGTCCTGACAATGGCAGCCATGCTGCAACTTTTCAGTAACACTCCCCCCAACACCCTTTAAATTTGCACCTGAAAAAACCTAATTGATCATCTCTGACAGTATATAACTTGATCCTCCAAGTTAAAAGTGCCCTGGGAGTAAGGGTCTGGTGCACCTTGACTCCACTCAGCAGGAGTGGCCTGGCGAGCAGCATTGGCCTCCATGACGTTGGAGAGCTCATTGATAATCAGCTTTAGGATCTTGACTAACAAAGGAATGTTTGTCCAGCGCTCTGGGTCTAGGAAGGAAGCAAAAAGTCCTCAAGTCAGATTGTCACTGGCCTCAATCTGGCAGCATCTTCATCCTCCGTACAGTTCTACTTGGCAAAGTTCATATTCTCTCAGGGGCCTTCCACCATCTCTGACTATATCCAGCCAGCAAAGAATGATTTAAATTTAATTCTACCGGGTGTTATATATATATAACATATATATCAGTTCAGAAATAAGAAGAGGTAAAAGAGTTCCGGGATTAGAGATCAGTTCCTACCAGTAACAAAGCTGTGAAGCCAGCACAGGATGCCAGTCCCAAGCCAGAACTTGAGTTCTGAGACAGGGTAGACAATCATAGACTTGCAGTTAAGGGCAGCAACTCTATCCACGATTCACTGGAGCCGTAGGCCAAAGGTGACCCAAGAGCCAAGGCATATTGAATGTGTGTTAGAGCTTCAGAATGAAGCTGGAACCTGGGGAGCCTTGCTTCAAGATTATTTGTGTCAACTTTCTACAAGAAGGATCCATACATTCTGATTCACTGTTTGCTTAATTTTCTGCTTCTTTATGAAACCCACCAATAAGAATACAAAGGAAAGTACAGCCCCTCCCCTGTCCCAGATTATCCTGAAGCCCTACAAAATGGAAGCAGTACTCACTTTTGGCAGACTTAGAGCGAGTACGGATGCCCTCATCCATGCTGTAGATCTCTTCTCCCTTCACACGAATATCTTGTAGCCGCTTGTCATCTGCATTGATGCCATGCTGGAGCAGTTTACATAGTGCCACAGAGCTGGCAAGAGCCAGAGAATGTCAGTCAGCTCCCATCTAGAGCTTACTCCAAGCAGCTTATGTCACCCTCGGGAAATGAAGACCCTCTCTTTGATGGTGAAACTTCTTTCCACTACTAATTAGGAGAGGGAACAGAGCTCAGCTGGGAATACCATAAGGTGGTCTACTGATATCTGCTTGTCTTGAACAAAGTTAGGGTAGGCAAGCCTCACAATGGCTATCCACACTGTACAGTGTATTAGGGTGATGAGACCCAGTGGGATCAGCCTAGGCTAGAGAGGCTGGGAATTTAGCTCAGTGGTAGAAGGCTTGTCTAACAAACTCAAGAGCCTGGGTTTGGTTCCTGGGGCCAGAAAAAAAATAAAAGAAGTCAGAAGTTAGGCTATAGAGTTATAATGCAAAGGCTTGCGTTTATTTCTATTTATTTATTGGTGTTTCAAGAATTCTGTGCTGCCCTGGCTGTCCTGGAACTAGCTCTGTAGACCAGGCTGGCTCTGAACTCATGGAGATTCCCCCTGCCTCTGCCTTCTAAGTGCTTAAAGGATTAAAGGTGTGTGCTGCTGCCACCATTGCCACTGCAGCCACTGCTGCTACCACCACCACCCAGTTTAGGCTTGGGTTTATAAATGAGGGTAAGCCACTATCTATATCTAACCAAGCAAAGTTTGTTCCAGAGGAGGCTCTTAGCAGAAATCAGAAATCCATGTTCTACTCTGCTGATTGTTTTATTGGGAGTGTCAACATGGAGACATTCACATGTACAGTTATCAAGAAAGACAGAAAAGAGACTTCAGGGACAGCTTGGCATGTCAAGCAAGAATCAGTGGTGCAGGGCAGGGAAGAGAGATTTAAATGTGAGTAGAAATAGAAAGCTCACAGCAAAAATATGAGGTCTCACCTAACTTTGCCTTCATACTGTCCATAGAACAGATGCTGCCGACTCGTCCACTCAGCCATCACAAACTCCAGGGCAGGCTTCCCAGTCGGTCCTGGAAGACTACACAGGAACTCTAACAGAGGTTCTAGCTGAGTGTGCACCAGATGAGCAAATACCATGATCAGTGACTAGAAGAAAACAAGAGGGGACATTTTTCAGTAAAACAGATTTCACAGACTAAGAGGAGAGACAGAATGGGCTGATCAGTCAAGAAACAGAGTCTGGGGCTGTGCACGGTGGCGTATACCTTTAAGCCCAGGATTCAGAAAGCTGAGGCAGGCAGATCACGAAGTTTAAGGACAGCTACATGAGAGTATGCCAGGCTAGCCAGAGCTGTATACCAAGACCATTTAAAAAAACAAACCAGAAATAGAGTCTGAGCTGAAGAAATGGTTCAGTGGTTAGGGCACTGCTGTTTTTTGCCAAGGAGCTGGGTTTGGTTCTTTGTATCCACACTGGTAGCTCACAAGCATTTCTAACTCTAGTTCCCAGGGTCTGGATCCATGTACATGGTGCATATATGTACATGCAAGCAAAACATGCATACATGTAAAATAAATCTGTTTATATACAGCAGAGTCCACACATGGGACAGAACACGGGGCTTTCCTTGCTCATGTTTCTTGCCCCCAAACAGATCCTATTTTACTTAACTGTTCTATGAGGATAGTGAGAGAATAAAACACACAGACTCATTTGATTCCCTATCACCCATGTAACAAAAAAGCCTCGAACCCCACCGTCCTTACCTGCATCACACTGAGTGTCTCTGCCTGCTGCATCTTACTGAGGATGGCACGAAGAATCTGATCCAGATTCTCCCCAAGCTCCCGCCCTGCCTTGGAGATGAGTGTGGAGACCAGGCGGCCTACAAAGGCTGCAGTGAACTCTGAGGTTCGTGGGTCAAGGAGCTGGCTCACTACTTGCATCACGTACCATAGTCCATTGTGGCCTTGCTCATCATGCCACTGGGCTACCTGTTCCAGTGTCACTGACACATAGGCTCGCAAGCACTCTCCACCATTCTGTGGAGACAGAAATGACAATTAAGATTAGTCATGGGAGAACAGATGCAAGGAGGACCCCAGACTGATTGTTACTGCTCCTTATGATGGCAGTAAGTCTATAGGCTTCACGTGGTTCATAACATTAGATATAGGAAGTTATGTTTATCCATAAAGACAAGCACTAACACAATCCTTCTTTTGTCCAATCAGCTCTCTCAAAAATCAGCTGTCCACTTTTCATTACAAAGATCAATGACCAAGGAAACAGGTTTACCTTTATTATTAAAAAAACAAAACAAAACAAAACCCTTAGATGTAACAATAGTTAGGAGCATTAAAGGTCTTCATGGGATAAAGATAGACCTCACACAAATCACTGTTTGCCTAGGAATTTCCAATCTGGCCATATCTACTATCATTTTCCTATAGCTTTCATAAACAACCCCAGTAATAAAGACCTGAAAAGGGAACCAATGCATCCCTCACTTCTCCAGGTCTATCACTTCGTTGCGTTGACTCTATCAGCATAATATTCAGAAAGGTTCCAAGGTCCCAAGTCTAGGCTCCTAACCAAATACAGGCAGCCAGACGTCTTGTATTCATACTTTTAAGGCTGTCATAGACCTTAAAGCACAAGCCTACCAGGCTTCTCTGGGTAAATTTGGAGTTAACAGACTTGTTTCAAAAGCATAATCACATGTCAGATTTTCTGGCCTACTATATGGCCACAGTGGGAATACTGTTTTCTCTTATTTTCCAAGTCTCACATACCTGCATGGTGGCATTGTCATCTGTGTGAAGGGTGCACTGTGCCACAGCAGGGAAAGCTTGACAGATAAGGAGCTGGGAAAGGGGAGGCTTTGTATTTCGAACTACTGTGGTCAGGATATCAATGGCAGTCTGCAGGAAGAAAGAGAAGTCAGAATTACTTCTAGGGTATGAGGTATCCACCAACCAAGACACTTGTTAGGCAGACGAAGCTCTGAGCCTCACCATAGCTCTTATAATTTTATTAGGCCTGGGGGTGGATGGTATTTGACAGTGGCTGGAGGGATGTTTTGGTTGGTAAAGCAGCTCCCAGCATAAAGAACTGACTTCTATTTCCAGGATTCATGTAAAAAAAAAAAAAAAAAAAGATAGACAGAATGGCACATATGCTTATAATCCTGGTGCTAGGGAGGCAGGGAATGGAGCTTTATTGAGGCTTGCTGGCTAGACAGCATACCTTACTTGGCAAGACTCAAACCAATGAGAGATCTGGTTTCTTGTAGATTGTGTTCCTGAGGATGACACCAGAGGTTGTCTTTTAGCTCCCACATGTATACAGACACACATGCATCGGGGGAGGGGGGATATGCCACCAGGCATGATGGTGCATGCTTAGCACCCTAGAATTGGAGAGACAAAGGTAGGCAGATCTCGTGAGTTCAAGGCTAGCCTGGTCTATATGGCTAGTCTACATAGTGAGATCATGCCTCATAACACACACACACACACACACACACACACACACACACACACACACACACTCTCTCTCTCTCTCTCTCTCTCTCTCTCTCTCTCTCACTACACAGTACCCTTTCCCCCCATCCTTCCAAGACTCGTTTCTCTGTGTAGTTTCTCTGTGAGTTCCTTGCTGCCCTGGAACTCACTCTGTGGAGTTGGCTGGCCTTGAACTCAGATATCCACCTGCTTCAGCCTCCCAAGTGCTGGGATTAAAGGCATGTGCTTCTGTTTTAAAAAATGGCTTATGCAGTTAACTGCCATCTTCATGGACAAAATAGCTCAGTAAAAAATAATACCTTGAATCTCCAATGCTTTTACTGACTTTCTGTCCATGGGTGGGGTCTGTGGGTGGCACCTGCAAAATGCTCATTCTTTCCTCTCTCACTCACTCACAGACCCTGGAACCACTTACCGCACAGAGCCCTGCAGGGATCTTGTCTGCTGGGGCCTGCATTATGCTGACCAGAGTGGGAATCAGCCTCATCTGCATTGGACCTTGACAGGCTTCAATCTGCGACAGTTCCTTGAAGATATCCTGAGCCAGTGAAGCGACAACAGGATCTAAAGTGGATAAGGCAACACAGAACCCTGTCTACTTCCGGTCTAATAATGTTTGGTTCTTGCTCTAAGTTGAATGTGAGTTTAAACCTTCTCCAGACTAAATCTCACACACTTGAGTGAGGCGAGATGGCACATGCCTATAATCCCAGCATTTGGGGAGGCAGAGGCAGGCGGATCTCTGTGAGTTTGAGGCCAGCCTGGTCTACAAAGCGAGTCTAGGACAGCCACGGCTACACAGAGAAACTCTGTCTCAAAAAACAAAAAACTCACACACTTAGAAAGTGAAGCAGCCAGGCACATGGACCACCCCAAGAATAAGGGATGTGAAGTCTTCAAAAGATACAATAGATGTTTTCTTCAGGGCATGGGCTCTTTAATAGCTACTCCTAAAATTAAAGAAGGGTTTTCTTCTGGGGCAAATTTTAAGATCCTTGTTTTCCTAAAATCTGGAATGATAATGAAACCAAATGATAAAAGCTTCCAACCCCCAAACAAACAAAAACCCCACTGATATTTTGTTAAGAAGAAAGCTGGAGTGCTATGGCACACACCTTTAATTCTAGGACTTGGGAAGCAGAGACAGAAGGAGCTCTGTGAGTTTGAGGCCAGCCTGGTCTATATAGTGAATTCTAGGACAGCCAGAGCTACATAAAGAGACCCTGTCTCAAAAAAACAAACAAAAAGAATACGAAGATATGAAAGTTCAAATACCACTGTCCTCAGGCTCTTACACATTTTATTTTTTTAAATATTATTAGATTTATTTTTATTTTGTGCATGGGTGTTTTACCTGCATACATGTCTGTGTACCACATGTGTGCAGTGCCCAAGAAGACCAGAAGAGGATATCTCCCTTAAAACTGGAGTTCCTGAAGGCCATGGCAGCGATGTGGGTAATTGAACTGTGGTCCTCTGGAAGAGTAGCCAGTGCTCATCACCTCTCCTGACTCTCTTACACCTTTTCAAGCAGTCACGTGGATTTCCTAGAGAGCAGCCATGACAGACTGGAAGAATTCCCAGGGCCCTGCCTGTAGCAAAAGGTACAGCTCTCAGAAAGCAGAGCTTCATAAAGAGATGGAACTTCTTTCTGGTGTCTGTTTTGAGAAAGGGTCTCACTTTAAAGCCTTGAATCCATAATCTTCCAGCCTTGGCCCCAAGGGCTAGGATCATAGGAGTGTGTTACTTGGCTGAGAAATGGAACTTCATGTCAATCTGCTTTACGCAATAACAAGAACACCTTTGTCATGTAGCATGAAAAGATAGAGGTAGTGCACACTAAGGTGCATGTTAAAAGTAACTATAACATTGCTTTTAATAGAAAAAAAAATAAAAAAGGAACAACCTAGCTCTCCATTGGCAGAATGGGTAAGAAAAGATATAGCCATTCCACAGAAAATTAACAAAGCCTGAAAAGAATGAGGGACAGACATGCATGCTCTTCAGGACACATTTTTTTATCCTTAATATTTTTCTGATACCTAGGTATAAAAATATTTACTATAAAAACTTAAAATGCTGAAAAATATTAAGGGAAAGAAGAGCCTATAATTCTGCCACTTAGAGATAATACCTTTGAAACATTTTCTTCTGGTGATTTTTTTTTCCTCCCCAGTAGACACAGCTATACACATATCCTTGTTTAAAACAAAAACTAAAATTTCAGATATTGTATGCACATTTTGGGGATTTTTTTTTTTTTTTTTGTTTGTTACTACTATAGATATAAAAAAAATTTGTATGAAAGCCTGTGTCTATAATCCAGCACTTGGGAGGAGGAGGAAGTAGGGGATGGTGGTCAAGACCAGGCTGAGCTACACAAAAGCTCAAAACTCAAAGGGTGGGGTGACAGCAGGGCCTGATGTGCACAGGTTTCTTTGTTATGCTTCTTTCTTAAGCATTTTCTTCCCTCAGTTTTGTGGATCAAAGCCAGGGCTTCGGGCACGCTAGGCAAGGCTCTATCACTGAATCACATCCTCAGTCCCAGCATCCCCCTTTTCAGACTATTCTTAAGAAGTTAATTACTTTCCTCCTCTATCATAAGAATGTTGAATTATGTCTTTTACACACTATTACTCCTAGTCCTATACAAATAAAATTACAGGAATTAGAATTCTACTTTATAGTGCTGCTGTATTTGTGAAGAACCATTTCCTTTGTTAACCAAAGAACATTCTTTGCTTAGGATGGTAAGATCATCAGACCCCAAGGATAGTTTCCTAACCCCACCAATCACCAGCTCTTTGGGTGCTTCTCATCAACACAACTTTCCCGATGGCATACCATTACTGTACTTTAGGAAAATGGCGATGGTGAAGGGACAGATTTTGCTTTCCACGCTTGCTGTGAATTCTGGGTCAACAGTACAAACGATGCATAGGGTCTCCATCACCAGGTTGAGGACTTCTGAGCTGAACTGGGCTGCTAGGTGAATTAGACCATCAAGTATGCTGGGGAGGAAGGGCTGAAGCACATGTGTACTCTCTGAAACTTTCAGTTGATCACAGTATCTAGAGAGAGAGATACATAATTAAGAATTACTCATAAGCAGACACTTCAATCCTTAGGCTTTCCAGTCTTATATGACATGTATATATAGCTTTATAAAGCTACTTCTATAGTTAGCTATGTCTTCATATCTTCTGTAGTGTATTACATACATATCAATCCCTCTAGTCTCTTCAAAACTTCTGCTTTGCTGGCAGATCCAGCCTGGGGTCTCTCATACATGCTTAAGCAGATTCTGTAGCACTAAGTTAGCCCGCTAGCATATGTGCTATTTTCTTTAAAATTTCATACAATCATCACATCCAAATTATTAAGATACTAGGTTAACTGTCTCATGAGTCCTCCGACGACAATGTTAAATCACATTACCAAGATGTGGACATATAAAAGTGGCAAGATGGCTCAGCCAGTAAAAGTACTTGCCCCCAAACCCGATATCCTGAGCTGGTTCCCCAGAGGCTACAGAATGGAAGTTATTCTCTGACTTCCACATGCATGTTGTAGCTCATGACCAGTCTGGTCTATACAGCAAGTTCAGGGTTGACACTGAGACCTTGTCTCAAAAAAAAAAAAACAAAAAAAACAAAAAAAACAAAAAAAAAAAACAAAAAAAAAAAACAAACAAAAAAAATCCACAACCTACAAAAAGCAAAAACAAGAAACAAATGTAGCCTTAAAACATCTCATAATTATATTAGAAGGGACTATCTTTTAATTTCCATGTCACAAATTTTGTACTTTAAAGTTGGGCAAATACTCTGCCACTGAACTACACCTTCAGTGCCATGACTTTTTACTTCAGAATGGTAGTAAGAGGTGAAGAGAGAGCTGGTGAGATGGCTCAGTGGATAAAGGTGTCTGCTGACAAAACTGATGATTTGAGTTTGATCTCGAGGACCCACATGGTGGAAGGACAGAATCAAATGCCACAGTTGTACTTTGTGTTCCAAGACGCACATTTCCACACGCCCTCCCATCATATACACTTAAATATAACTAATTAAAAAGTGACAACAGAATAGCAGTAATACAGACAAAAATATAGTTTCTCTAAATAACACCCTGTTAACAGGTACTCAATGATTTTTTTAAAGACAGGGCTTTCCTAGGTAGCCCCTGACTGCTAAGTAGACAAAGCTGGACTTGAACTTACAGAGATCCATCTGCCCCTGCTCCACAGTGCTGGGCTTATACATGTGCATCACCACCCCCCACCTTTGCCTGTTTTATACCCAAATAACCTGTATCAGCTGTAAAGCTGCATAACCGTGGAACCACAGCTTTACAGGCTTGGCTCTGTAATAGACTTTTTTTTTTTTTTTTTTTTTTTTTTTTTTGCTCAGACCTAACTTCTTTTTAAAATTGTTTTTGGACTTATTTATTCATTTATTTTGTTTTGGTTTTTTTGAGGCAGGGTTGTTCTATGTAGCCCTGGCTATCCTGGAACTTGCTCTGTAGACTACGCTGGCCTCAAACTCACAGGGATCTTCCTACCTGTCTCTCAAGTTCTAGGATTGAAGTGCCACCACTGCCCAGCTGGGTTTAAGTTTGTGTATGTAAATCACACATGTGCCAGGTGCCTGAGGAGGCCAAAGGGTGCTATATCTTGGAACTAGAGTTATGGGTAGTTGTAAGCCACCACTCAGTCACTGCTTGTTGGGTCTAACACTATATTTCTTACAAATAAATGAAAATCAAAACATCAACTGCTAAGCTTATTATTTATTGCCAAGTCTCTACTACTTCTCTCCTCACTGCTTTAGTAACGATAAAAATTTAGATCTTGCACTTCAAGTTTTAGACCTTGGTTCCTACCTTCTTATTCACTTTCTCCTCATCTCCTATTGGCTACTATACTAGATGGCAATAGAAACTCCGAAAGAATGACTACAGCAGCTTCCTAGTTGATACCTCAACTTCTTACCATATGTTACAGTTATTTGAACTGAGAAATGAATCTTTTAAGAATAGAAAATCAATACTGTGGTGCTTGTAACTAAAACAAAATAACAACAACAATAATAAAAAGAGTTCAGAGCTGACCAAAGCCAGGTGCCACCTTAGTCTTCAGAATTTAGGTCTGGGGTTGGGGGGAGTGGGAGCTAGAGAGATATCCCAACCCCAGGTCTTCTCCAGGTAGGCACTCTTAATTCTGCCATTTCTCTAACCCTCATAGGATAGCTCTTGGAAATTACAGATAGGGTTCAGGGGAATCCAACATCTGACATCATATGTACAATTCTGTAAACATGTGAGGGTCCATTACTCTCTGGTATGCATATTTATAGCTAGTCATTTTTTAGACTGGTATGTTTCACTGCTTTCCCCTCCCCCCAAGAAAGGGTTTCTCTGTGTACCCTTGGCTGTCCTGGAACTCGCTCTGTAGATCAGGCTCACCTCAAACTCACAAGAGATTAACCTGCCTCTGCCTCCTGAGTGCTGAGATTAAAGGCATGCAAGACCACTGCCCATTTTTGTTGTTTTTTGATGTTTCACGGCATGTTGAGAAAAATCAGAAGATAACTGCTTAAGTAGTCAATGAGAACTATGCATTAGGTATTAAAAATAAAGTTTTCTTCACATGAAAAAATATTATTTCATTTATGTGTATATGTATGATTGCATGCATGCATGCATGCATGCAGGTACACATGTCTGTGTACATGCAGAGGCCAGAAGAAGGCACTGGGTGTCCTTCCCTGTCAACTCCCCATCTATACCTCTTTGAGGCAAGGTCTTTCCTGGACTTCTCTCAGGTGGACCCTGTGAGTCTCCTGTCTCTCTCACTCCCTTGGAGCTGGGGTTCAGAAGTGTGCAGGATGGCCAGCTTGTTGCACAGGTTCTAAGGTCTTAATTGAGGTCCTCATGACTTACACCAAGCGCTGCCAACTGCTGTACCACCTCTCCAGCCCCTGTTGTTTCTTAAAATAGAATTTAAGTTCACTGTAAACAAACATTTACACTGATAACAATGAATGAAAGTGTTTTTTGTTTTTTTAATTCTAATCTCTCCTATGAGGATGAATGTAAGTTATGCTTGGCAGGTACTGCTATCTCTCTAGAACATCCCAGAAAACAAGGGGTTCTTACCCTATTTACACACTTATATCAAACCCTTCTCTGTTTGCAACTTTGAACATTTCTATAATCACAGCACAAAATAGGCACAATTGTTCTACCAATAATCTGATTTTACTCTTGGCCCATTTTTAAAGTTTTAAGTAACATATACCTAAGTTTTAATGGTTTTATTCTTATTTAGTTGGCAAAGGCTTTGAATTTTTTTTTCTTACAAATACGACTATGATTTATTTATGTGTACATGTCCATGTATGAGGAGGCTGACAGGGAGCTGGAGTTATAGGAAGTTGTAAACTGTCTGATGTGGGTATTAGGAATCAAAGTTGGGTCCTCTTTAAGAATAGTATGTGCTCTTAACTGCCAAGTCATCTCTCCAGCTCCTGCTTTTAATTTTACACTGCCATTTGTCATAAGGGATGTTCAATGCCTCAGGGACTAATTAATGCATGCAGATAAAACCAAGTTTTACAAAGGTCAGAAGCAATACAGGCAGTGATTAATCAGGGTAGGGTTCTCTTCTCAGACATTTAAGAGAGGTTTCAGAGCTTTCTAAAAGCTATACGGTTTCTCTTAGCACAATGACATTTTAAATTCATTTAGAGCCAAATACTGACTTTACCAAGACTGTACAGGAAAAGATGGGCCTTTGTTCATAGCTGTAGCACTTACTGTTCAACACATGCACACAGAGTACGTGATTCCTCAATGTTCCCTAAACATCTCCCTCCCTCTTTCTCTCTCAATACATGGTTTCTCAATCACTCTCTCACAAGAAGATAAAATAGGAAGATAGATTTTGTAATTCTCATGCATAGAATTCAACTGAGATGCTTAAATTTGGACCTTAAAATATCCTTCAAATGAACAATGTTCAGGCCCAAAAGAGGGCTCAGCAGTTAGGAGCACCTGTTTCTGCTGACGACCTGGGCTTAATTTCCAGCACTCACAAGGTGGCTTGCAACTTGTGTCACTTGTGTCTTTAACTCCAGTTACAGGGGATCCAACGCCCTCTTCTGACCTCTGTGGGCACTAAACATGCACATGGTACACCGACATATTTGCACATAATACACTCATACACATAAAATAAAAGTATAAATCTAAAAGAAAAGTTTTAAAGTAACAATGTTTCCTTTGGTTTGGGTAGGAACCTCTAGTCTTTACCTATGAAAAAAAGAGAAGTGAAACTGGAGAAGAACCATGTTTCTATGCCACAGTCTCCCAAATTTGGTGTCTGAAATCAAATATACTGTTTGGCATGATCATCTGTTTTAAGATTTATTTATTTTATATGAGCCCTCTATCTGCAGATCACGGGCATGCCAGAAGAGGGCATCAGATCCTAGTATAGATAGTTGTGAGGCACCATGTAGTTGTTGGGAATTGAACTTTGGACCTCTGGAATAGCAAACAGTGTTCTTCACCACAAAGCCATCTCTCCAGCACCCAAATTTGGTTTCTAATACATAGACTATCAACACAATGATGTGACTGCTAATGATGTGACTGCTAATGGTGTGACATAATCAGACTTATGTCCTTCATCAGTTATGCAACCCTTATGCAAATTACATCAGAGCCTTGGGTTCTTTACCTTCACTGAAGAAAGGAAGCTGCCTGGTAACTTCATAGCTGGAGTGAATTTAACAGAAATAAGGAACACAAGGGAACAGGACATCTTCTGGAGTCACCTACATAGCTTCATTTCCTTTCTCTGCAATATTCATCCAGAGTAGGTCTTCAGGAGAAATTTCCAAGTACTATAATGCATGGGACATGTGATGTTCTCTACCTGAGTCATTTTCTCTTCGAGTTTATAGCATTGTAGAGTAGCATACTTACCCCCAGATGGCTCTCACAGCAGAAATTCGAACTGATGGGGGTTGTGTCTCATGAAGACCACTAACTGTTGCCTGTAGGAACTGTTGAATCAGTTCAGGGGACATAGCAACAGTGAAACGACTGGCAGCCCAAAGTGCCCGACCCAAGAGGAAAGGAGACGCTACGAGAAAGAGAGCAATTACAGGTTAGATGATGAAAAGTTCCTCTTACCCCTGCTCCCTCCCAACTTCATTTCTCAAATGTTAACAAATAATTGGATGCTACATAACATATATGACAATTTCATGCGGTAAAATTACATGTACATGTATGGCACAGAATCAGTAACTCAACATTACCTCTACTACTACATATTCTGAACTAACGCCCTTTTTGCTTACCTGCATCACTAGTTCATCTTCTAAACCCTCCCCACTGTCACTTCCTTCCTATTACTGTCTCAACACTAGAATATAAACTAGAGCTCTGATCATATTATCCCTCTATTAATATAACGTGCCAAACAATTATACAGTCCCCCACATACACAACACTAGTGATGACATTCAAGGCTCCCTTCACGGCTACTAACTTCAAGCACACATCTGACCCCAGAAATTCATACCTTGCTTTGTCTACTATGAACTTTGTTTAAATTATAAGTCAACATATTCCTCTTTCGTATCATCTAATGATCTCTTAGCTGAAGTAATCCCAATTATCTCTGAGCCACTTTAATTCTATATGCCCAGCTTTTTCATATGCTATATTCTGTTTGATATTCTATCCACTGGTGTAAGAATTACTACCCTCCACCAAGCATAAACTGTCTGGGAAGACTGAATTTATCCAGTCTATCAAAGAGCTTAGCTTAGTTCCTCACACTAAAATATCTAATTGAGGATTACTGACTAGCTCTTAAAAAACCAGCAAATAATTTTAACGCTTTAGAAAGAGAGAGGTAGTAACTGCCAGAGTATGGTCTAGGTATTCCTGAAAGTCCTTATAGCTAAAACTGTTACTTTTCAATTTAAACATTTTATAATTTTATGTGTATGAGTGTTCGGTTTACATGTATGTGTTCACTACATGAGTGCCTGGTGCCTAGAGGCCAGGAAAGGGAGTGGGATCTCCTTGGAGTTAGAGTTATAGACGGCTGTGAGTCACCATGTGCATGCTGGGAATTGAACCCAGGTTCTCTGGAAGAGTAATCAGTATTCCTAACAGCTAAGCCATACCTCTAGTCTCTAAAAAAATTTTTTTTGTTGGTTTGAGACAGGGTTTCTCTGTGCAGCTCTGGCTGTTCTGGAACTTACTCTGTAGACCAGGCTGGTCTCATAGAGATTCACAAGGCTTTTCCTTCTGAGTGCTGAGATGAAAGAAATAATCCACTATCACCTGGCTTTTTTTTTTCTCCCCCTCTCATGGGCATTGGAGTTTTGCCTATATGAGGGTGTTGGATCTGCCACGTAGGTGCTAAGAATTGAACCCTGGTCCTTTGAAAGAGCAGCCAGTGTTCTTAACGGCTGAGCCATCTCTCCAACCCACTAAAATCATTTTTAAAGGAATACCAAGACATTAACTTTTTCATTCTCATTCTTTCTCAAGTGAATAATGGCAATTTCCAGAAGGTTTCATGATACACATATGAATTCATGGCTATGAAGTCACAACACTTGTGGGTTTGTTTAAAATTTTAATCTCAATTATGTTGTGTGTGTGATGTGTGAACGAGTGCAAGGCCAGTAGATGCCAGAAAAGGGTAACAGATCCCTTGTAGCTTGAGTCACAAACAGTTGTGAACTACATTTCTTGGGCTGTTAAGACCTGAATTCAGATCTTTATACACAAACATACACAAAAAAACAGAGGTAGGGGGGAGGAGGAGGAAGAAAAGGGGGCTAAGAGAAGAGACTTGGTCTATAATCATGAGGCTAGGAGTTTGGATCACAGCAGCCATGCAAAAAGCCTGAAGGCCCAGCAAATTCCTGTGACTCCCCTCTGACAGGGGTGAAGACAGTAGGTCTGATAGTGCTTGCTAGATTTCAGTCTAGTGAAGATGTGAGCCAGGTGCAAGGAGAGACTCTGCCTCAAAGGAATAGGCAGAATGATATAGGATACTTGACAACCTCTTCTGGCCTATGATGTGCATATATCATACTCACACAGACACACAAAGAAACAAATATTTTAAGAGTATATAAGTGAGTTAATAGCAGGTCCTAAGATCTAGAGTCCTGGCATGTATTAAAATGTACCTGACAGGTTGAGGTCTGCAAGGATGACGTTGGTCAGGAACCCATGCATGTCAAAATGGACCCTGCCATTCTTCACGCTGTCAGTGATGATGGACTTCACAGAGCCCAGAGCAAGCATGCAGGCCTCGTGGATCTTCCACCTGCAAAGGGGTACTGCAGCTGGTAAAGCAAACTACACTTCCAAAATAAATAAGGCCATTTAGAGAAGGGTATTCTAGAGTTATCTGATCCCAAAGTCATTTATCTGTATTTCTAATTCATTTATTTAAGAGTATTTTTCCATCCATGGGCTGTAGCAACTGAACTCTTTGTCAGGCTTGACATCAAGTGATGCCATCTCATCAGCCCTTATTTTTTTGAGACAGGGTCTCACATAGGCCAGGCTTGCCTCAAACTTGCTACATACCAATGAGGATGGCCTCAGATTTCTAAATCTTGTCTCTACCTCAAGTGCTAGAATAGTAGTCATATACCATATCTGGGCTCTTCTTTCCAATTTAAACATTACGTATTAAATTCCTTTGATAACACTGAATTATATTAGTTGAGTCTTCTAATTAAAAACTCCTTTCAAAGCTGTTTAAAATGGAATAAAATGAACGCATTTGCCCTCAGATCTGATGTTTCAAACAAGTCTCTAAGTAGAGAGCTTCTTCTCACTCTTACCAGTGCTCAGTGCCACTGTTTTTCGTTTGCTCAGCTTCTTGTAAATGCCGAGTGGCTGCAGTAGCCAGGGCGACAGCACTCTCATTCTGGAAATCTGTGGCCACAGCCTAAGGAGAGAAGATCTAAAAATAAATCTATGTGTATGTGTGTTGCTCAAACTCTGGCACGCCCACACTAAAACTTGATCAGGTATATTAAAAGTGACCCCATTAGTTTAGGGTCTTTTATGAGGTCAAAAGTACTATACCTGCAACTCATTAGTGCTCAGGCATTGTAAGGCTAAAGAGCCTTAAATAGTTGATCTCTTTGGCTCTACTAGCATAAGTGAAAATTGAGAGTTAGCACTGGATGACAATGGACCAGACATTTATTCTCTTCAAAGCTGACTGATCATGAAAATATAAGGCTGCTCTGAGAGTGTGTAATTTTTTTTCTGTTCTACTTTTATTTTTGGTTCCCTTAATTTGACCACGCTCACCTTGCACATGCTAGGCAAATGCTATACTGCTGAACTACACTTCTACCTCCTCATGTAATTTGTTATAGGTGCCTTAGAAGCACTAAATAATGAGACACGATATACCAACAAACCCAAGAGGAAACATCAGTTTTTTCAGAGCATTCAGTCTAGAGACAACCTATGCTCTAGTTGGAGGAGCCAAAGAAACCATGAGCTGAAGGTGCATGCTCACCTTCCAACAATCTTTTAAAGTGTGTCAGCTTCCGGTGTGTGCCATGGAGGCTTGCTGAAGGCAGATTAAATCTAAATGTTCCTGACTCAATGAACCAGTTGCAACAACTCTGGGATTTCTCCATTTCAAATTTCATGAGCCAACTTCTTATATCCTTAAAAGAGTCTGAGGTGAAGCTGCCTCACAGTACTGCTTACCTTGGTTCACATGTCTAGAAAGGGAAACCTCTGGTTACTAGAGGGTTATTTGGTTGAAGTAGCAACATAACTCTTACCAGCAACAGGTCCTGAGCTGCAATTCTAACTGTGTAGGAGAATGTGTCATCATCCTCGTCTTCTACAAACTGTTGTGGGTTAGCTGTCCACACTTTAATCTACAAAGACAATGAAGTCAGCATGGAGGCCCACCATTCTCGTCTATATGTTTCTGCTCTTTATCAGCGGACGTAGGAAGATCTCAATCTTTTATCCTGACGAAAACTCTAAAATATTTTTCTTTCTGAGACAGGGTCTCACTATGTAGCCGTGGCTGGCCTTAAACTAAAAGACCCATCTGCCTCTCAGTGCTTTAAAGTCTTTTTTTGTTGAGAAACAAATTATTTATCTAAATATGTAGGAATGGCTATTTATCTGTAGCAGAATCTTCTTTAGAATTGACAAATTACTTAGTTCTCTGTTACTGCCACCTGCTTATTACTCTGATAAACACATTTTCTGAATATATTGGGACATTTACTATAAAATTACACCAATTTCTGTGCTGATATATATGAAAGACAAAGACATTGTTTTTTAAAATCTTCCTTCCCCCCCCCAAAAAAAGGGTTTCTCTGTGTAGTTCTGACTGTCCTAAATCTCACTCTGTAGACCAGGGTGGCCTTGAACTCAAGAGATCCACCTGTCACCGTCTCCTAAGTGCTCTGATTAAAGGTGTGTTCCACCTGGTGTTATTTATACTTTTAATATTTTTAAAATTACATTTATGCTCATGAGGAGTTAGAGAGCAATTATCAGGAGTCAGTTTTCTCCCACCACATGGGTCCCAGGATTGATCTCAGGTAGCAAATGTCTTTACCTGTTGAGCCATCTCAAATGTGTAAGCTGATGCATTCTTTTTTCTTAATATTTTAAAAATGCAATGTTTTTATTAATTCTTTGAAAACTTCATACACTAGGTTTTGAGCATATTCACTTTACTCTTCCCTACAACTCTCCCCAGATCTGGGGAAATCTATTTATTTATTTATTTATTTATTTATTTATTTATTTATTTATTTATTTACTTACTTACTCACTCATTTACTTACTTACTTACTTACTTACTTATTTATTTATTTATTTTGATTTTTCTGAGACAGGATTTCTCTCTGTAGCCCTTACCATACTGGAACTCCCTCTGTAGACCAGGCTGGCCTCAGAAATCAGTCTGCCCCACCTCCTGAGTGTCGAGACTGAAGGCACGTGCCACCATGCCCAGCTGGACAAATAAGTTTTAAAAATCTGGATGTTGTTATTCTTTTGTTCCTCCTCTAAATGAAGATCAGAAAAGCTATGGAAACTTCAAAGTGGCGAAGAACAAATGCTGATCAAACAATACAAGAAGTGTGGTGGCAGTAACAGGAGCAAGCTGAAATAAAAGCCTATTAATAATAATCCCTGAATTCCAGATTAAGCTAAGAAAATATGACTCAAATGCAAACTCTAAATTTTGATGGTATGGTTTACTTAATATGGGGCATTATAGATGTGGCTAGCTCACTGAACCTCCCATGGGCTCCCACACATTCTCGCTAAGATCTTAGAGATGCCTGGTCTCAGTTGCTGCATTCCTGTATGTTCTGTTCTGGTTCTAATGACCTATCAAACTGACTGTGATGAGGAAGTGCCAAACAGATTCTCATACATTTTTGCTTAGTGGTTTCACAGAGATTAAAACATGTTCTGAAAAGCTAACACTAGAAGTGATTAAACTCCTAATACTCAGGGATTTGGTGATAAAATGATGGCAAAACTTCTCTAGGATTTTACATAGTTTCTTAGTGCATTTTTTAGAAATGAGATGTTTACTTGACCAAGGTGTCACATTTCTCAGGTTTCCAATCAACTTAGTAACTGTCTCCCAAATACCATTTACCTGCTCCTCGGTAATCTGCATGTACAGGATAATGTAGTAAATAAGCTCAGGCAAGGCTTTCTTAACGGTGCTTTTGAATTTGCTGTTTTCTAGTAGGGCATGGACAAATTCAAAAATGCTAAAGACGAGATTTTCAAAGCCTAGGACTTCTCCTACAGGGAATATACAAGAATAGAAATTAATGATATGAAAACAAAAGGAAAGCATTCATTCTGGAAATAAGCTACATTATCTTTTTAAATTAATGAATACATAAAGTACTTGCTAACTTTTCCCGAAGGACTGATAGAAGAGGCTAATGAGTGAAAGAGAAGAACTTTGAGGCTATTAAGTACTTTTAGGTGTAAAAGCACCACAAACACAGAACATATTTCCCAGCATGTCTATTTTAAATCTGAAATACTTAAAAATATTGGCATAGAAATGAGGAGTATCATCATACGGAACCTCTAAGACATCACAGGTAGCTGTACTGGATATCTGTCACAACTCAAATGCTGTGATGTTCAGTGGACTTTGCAGACATCCCTAAGGATGAGATTGAAGATGATGAATTCTCAATTCCTCACACCTACCATAATGAAAAGATGCTTTTACTGCTTTTTTGTTTTCCGCTTCTAACTTGTCTGTGTCAAGATCCCTTTCCCTAAGAACTGGCATTTCTGTTGGAATCAGATAAACACTTACCATCAGAATCCACAGGATCTTCTACTTCCTCTGTATAATTCACTTCTGTCCTCACATAAGTATGATGAAGAGTAAAGAAAGAGAATCTGGAGTCTGTTTACATATAGTCTACAAGGGAGTGCTATATCCCCCACCACTAAGAAAAAACACACTGAGAAGTAGGAGCACATGACTGAGACTCAAGCCTAGATCCCCAGTGTTAGGCAGCGGCAGGTCCTCTGGGTTCTCAGGAAAGGATATAAGGCAGCACTTTCAGTCAGAGTGTTCCAAACAATGGGCAGGATCTGTTGCATGGAGGATACCATGTGCTTTGGGAAGTTTTTCACCAAGGCTGTCACCGCCTGAGAAGAGAACACACCACTGAGCAAAACAGGAGCAATCAATGATTTCCGAATCCTTCTCAACTCTAAATCTTACTGATAGCATATCTTTACCTTCAGAACCTCCATCTTAAAACCACTGTCAGATGTGGGGCCATCTGGCATCTGGAGGGCCTGAACAAAGGCCTCTGTGAACTGCTGCACCACAGGAAAGATCAGGACTTTAGCTGCACCCTGACAACAGAAAGCAAAGTCAATGCTGGACAAACTCCCAATCCCGAGCTTCAATACACACATTAAATTCTCAGTTCTGAAGCATGTAAAGCTTCATTTAGGGCCAGGTTCTAATCCAGAGCTATAGGCACTGCCGGTGTTTCTCAGGACTTCAGACCTTAGCACCCACCTGCAATTCCTCAATATAGTCCTCTTAAACCTATCCCATCATACCACTTCTCAAAAAAGCACCTGGATCCCAGTAACCAACATTCTCAGCTAGCTTTCTTTCACACGAGAGGGCCATAAGATACTATGAAAGGAAATAAGAAGACTCTACTCAGTGGCAGTGTTTGCTTGGACTATGTGACATCTTAGGTTTAATTCCCAGCATGGAGAAACAAAACAAAACAACAAACAAAAAGATCAAAACAGAAAGAAAAAAAAGGATATAGAAAAGGTATTTGAAGAAATATAACTAAAACTAAGATCTATATATAAATGCATATGTGTGTGTTAAAAATTTAATGAAAATATTAAATCTATTTGGCTAGTGTGCTTTCTGGTAGTTGTGAAAGGAGTCGTTAGCAATGGAAAACGTTAATGAAGACTCTGAAGTCAGTTTGTTACTCACCAACCAAAGGATCACCCACCTTCTCCAGCTCCTCCATGTTACAAATCATATGGGCACAAGTAGTAAAAATCTCTACTGCTCGGGAACGAGTTCGGATACCGTACACCTGGGAGAAGGTCATAAGATAGTCATGGGCTGCAGTGTGAATGTGAGTGCATGTAACCAGAAGTAAGACCAGGGCTACTCAATCAGTCCCCACAGTTAAAACTACTTCCCTAAAGAGATCAGATGCAATCCATTTATGTGAAGAAAAAAAAAAAAATTGGGTTTCTGAAATCAAGGGAGTATAAGACAGCTGGGCGGTGGTGCCACCTTTAATCTTGTCATTGGGAAGCAGAGACAAGCAGATCTCTATGAGTTCCAGGTCATCCTGGTCTACAAAGAAGAGTCCAGGACAGCCAGGGCTACCCAGACACTGGCTCGAAAAACAATCAACAACAAAAACAAAAAAAGAAAAAGAGAGAATATAGGGCAACAGAGTGTTAGAACTTATTAAAAAAAAAAAAAAAAAAATCAGGGTCTTACTCTGTAGAACCTCTGGCCTAGAATTCAGAGAAATTAGCTTGCCTCTGCCTCCAAAGTGCTGGGATTAAAGACGTGCCCCACATATCTGCCTTGGCTAATGTATGTTTTCTCCTTTTCAGGTGATAAGAGTTGACTCTCCTACTTCAGTCTCCTGAACACTGGGTTACAGCATACTCAGCTGCTGCTTTATTTTGTGGTAACAGAAGGTGAACCCAGGGCCTTGCAAAGCACATGCTCTATTCTGAGCTGCAGCTCCACTTCTCAATGTATTTCTTTTAAAATGTGGAGGCAAGGGATTGAGGTTGCATACCTACTAAGTAGTCATATATTATTGTGTACAGATCATTGCACACACTAATATGTATGTATGTAAGACATTAAGAACTTATTCATGCAATGAAGTAACAGATGATTTTTGAGTCCTTAGCTGAATAGGTCAGGTCAGGAGTGGTCAGCACTATGCATTCACACACTAGAATGTCAGCAGCTGTGAGCAGTACTGATACATTTTGGTTATTTTATCCAGTTTTTATCAAAGGCTTTCCCTTGAACTCATGAGTTCAGAGACTATGATCAGTTCAGTTTATCACTAGATCACTGTCAGTTCCAGTTGTCTGGTGTGGGCATCAGTGACAAATATCTAACTATACACTTGAGAGGTTGGTGCTGACCAGAGCCAAGGAGGACTGGGCTGAGATTTCATACCTCAGCCATGGTGAATATCTTATACATCTCTGGGAGAATGACAGGAGCAACAAGTGGCATCTGTGTGTCTGTCACTTCTCGAGTAAACTCTGCAAAGACAAAAAATGAAAAAATGCTTCATACAGACAAAGTGTGAAAATTTCCAAGCCATCTAGGTTCCTAGTCAGCACATAAAGATGGCCACTGATCTAGCAACCTCACCAAGGAAAAAGCCAGAGGTCCTATTAGTTAGAAGGGGAGAGAGAATAGGAACACAAAGAAGGACACAGGAAATTACGAAAGAACACCAACACACAGATTGAGGAAATCTGCAACACAACTGAACAGAAGTAACGACAAACAGGCACTGCTGAGTTCATGCCATGTCAGCAGATCTCTCAAACGTCATTCTGTTTTCTGTCAGTTCTGTCCCCTGACAAGTTACTTCAACGCAAATAACAAAACAAACATAAGCTGGGCGTAGTGGGGCAACACCAGCACTTGGGAGGGAGAGGCAGGCAGATCTCTAAGGCCAGCTTTATCTACAGAGTGAGTTCCAGGACACCCAGGGTTACATAGAGAAACCCTGTCTCAATAAGACCACCCACCCACCCACAGATGTGCTAAGTGTCAACTCCATTTATCAATGTATGAAGCTGCTGTTAATTGGACAGGAAGAGGATTCCTAAATACAGACTTGTACAGACTTGAAAGAGGCGAGGGAAAGAAAGGTCACATTTCCTTGTGCTTGGGGAAAAAAATAAAACAAGAAAACAATATGCAAAGCACATAAAGACCCTGTATTATGTAATAAATTTTAAAAAATGGAAATAAAAAAGACCTTGTATTAGTCCGACAGGTCAAATAAAGATCAGATACCAGAGGCTGGCTGTTCATTGTGAATGTGGTTTCCTTCTGAAAGATAAGTTCTGAGCTTTATCTTAATAAAGGAGCATCTAATTCCATTTAGATCTTCAAAGACATTAGTCCAAATAAATACACTGGATAGCCCTTGGTCTAAGATCAAGCACACATTGCATTTATTAATAACAAGTTTTATGAAAAAAATATAGCACAGAGCTTGGGTATAGCTTAGCACATACAAGGGTCTGGTCAAATTTCCAGTGTCATCATCACCACTACAAAAGAAAGATAGATAAAGGAGTCTTACTATTGAAGTGACTAATTATACTTTTTAATTTTTCTATAATCATTGTGAATAGTCTCAATTTGTTCATACTTTATAACAAAATATGAACTTTAGTTTATAAGTCTAAACTCTAAGTTTTCTGAGGTCATTTAGCAAGTCAGAAGTTTGGAACATTAACACCTCAATTTCCAATACTCTAAGAAAGAAGTAAAAGCGTTATCTATTGGATCAAATATTTAAATTCTTAGCATATATTTCCTTTATATCACAAGATCAAGTTCATTTTTATAAACAGAAAATAACTCGGAAGTCAAGAACAATCTCTTCTCAGAAGTCTTACAGATCCTGTGATACTGTGTTTCACAGACACAGTGGTACATGCCTATAGTCCCGGCTATTTAGGAAGCTGAGGCAGAAGGATTACAGGAGTCCAGGAATTAGAAATCAGCCTGGGCAAAACAGAGTGACTCTGTCTCAAAATAAAAAAGAAACCCTAAAGAAAACCAATGCTATTTTTCTCATGAGTTTTTACCCACACACAAATATTTTTCTGTCTTCACATATATTGCAGTTAATGATGTGAAGCTGAAAGTATGTCCTCTTTCGAACATGACTGGAGCAGCTATTTGTGAATTGAGGTTGGCTGCCATTCACTTCATGCCTGATGACTCAATTACAAAAAGGATACAAATTTCTCCACCAGTTCTTTCTCTTGGCTGACAGAAAAGTGACCTCACTGTACAGTAATTTCCTTAGTCAAGTACAAAGAAGGCTTTTTCTGCATTCCAATGCAGAAACCAATGGCTCCCACCTTCTCCTCTACCACCCAACACCACATAGAACCTCCCAGAGCCAGAGAAATTGAGAATTAACTTTCAACTCAGTGCAGCTGTGCCAACAATTTATCCCACAAGCATTCTCTTTTTAAGACATATTTTATTTTAAAATTATAAATGTGTGTGGGTATATGTGTGAGTGCAGATTTCCTCAGAGGCTAGCGGCAGTGGATCCCTTGAAGCTGGAATTAAAAGGAGCTGCCTAATGTGGATACAGGGAATTGAACTCAGGTCATCTGAGTTCAATCTGGTTAGTATGCTTAACTGCTGAACCATCTCTCCAACTTTGTAAGTATTCCCCTTTTTTCACCCTTTTTGGTTTTTTGAGGCAGTCTCACTATGTAGACCAGACTGGCCTCAAACTCCTAAGGTCTGCTTGCCCTGCCTCCCAAGCACCGGAGATTTAATATCTAATATTCTATTATTTCTACTCCTTTAAAATTTTTTTCACATTTGTATTATTTTATGTACATGACCGTTTTGTCTATGTGTGTATATTCTGCTATATGCAATGTGCATCACATGAGTGAGTGCCTAATGCCCTTGGAGGTCTGAACAGGGAGGTCAGATGCCCTGGCACTGGAATTACAGAAGGTTATGAATCACCATGTAGGTGCTAGGAATTGAACTTGGGCCCTCTTTGAGAACAACAGGTGCTTTTAACCACTGAACCAACTCTCCAGCCTTATTATTTCTACTCTTGCACACATGTGTCACGGATGTTTTGGTTTGGTTTGTACATTGCTCAGTCAGGTCTTAGGACTGCTGTGTATGTCTGTCCATCGGTGTACTATAAGGCATTCTCTACCATACTCTGGTCATACCTCATATACTAGCCTCCTTTTTGGGGGTGGGGTGAGGTAGAAAATGCCAATCTAGTCCTCTTTTGAAATTAATTATTTCATGTGTAAGGTTTATTTGTCTGCATGTGTATCTGTGAACCAAGCACCTAAGAAGGTGCTAGAAAAGGTAGTTATATCCCCTGGGACAGATGGTTGTGAGACACCATGTAGATGCTGGAAATTGAACCCAGGTCCTCTGGAAAAACAGCCAGTGCTCTTAACCACTGAGCCACCTCTCCAGCCCCATAAACACCCCTCTTCTTCCTACATTTTTTTCTTCTTTCTCGTATCTTATTCCTTCTGTTTTTTGTTTGTTTGTTTTTACTTAATTAAAACCTTCCATTAACTTTAACAATCTCTAAAATCTGTGGACCCCAAAAGGATCTGAACTTTTCCTCCTTGCTACGTTTTACCAACTTCATTCTTAATTTTCCAAGTTTATCTAATACTTACTCCTCTTCTTTACTCGTCCTACTTCCATTCTAGTTCAAATCTTGCCAATATAAATCTGAGTCTTCTCCACACTGCTTAAACTTTGTTGTTTTTCCTCCAGCAGTCTCTAACAATTGCTTAGTGGTAATATCAAGCAGCTGTGGTACGTTCCTAGTTAATATGAACTCAGGAAATAAGACAGACCTTATGCCAGGTCCCCAAAGCTCCTGGTCTAAGGAATTGTTTTCTGAACTATATATTCAACATCAACACATCCAAGTCCCATTTGAATACTGCAAATATGTCAACTGAAAGAATATAGAATATTTATTTTTATAAAAAAAAATAAATCAGGCAAAAAATACCAGATGTGTATATCCAATGCAGTAACATAAAAAATAGGAAGACCAAAACCTAGCTCCTCCAAAATTACTAAAACTATAGCAAAGATTTATAGTGAGTCAGATGAAACCTTAAGAGAACCCAATAGATAACAAGCACATTTCAAGATACAAATAAACAGCTGAATGAAATGAAAACTATGATATGAAAGAAAAATTTTAAAAGAAATGGAAATATTGAAGAAAAACCAATCAGAAACGCTGAAAATAAAAGACACAGTTAAATAAACCCTGTAGAAAGTCTCAACAACATAACGGATGACAAGGCGGAGGAACTGGAACAGCCCCTCTAGAACAAGGGTCAATAGTAAGAAGGTACAAAAAGGGAACCAAGACACTCTGAAAAGACTAAACTTATGGGGGATAGCATAGAAGAATCTCATTCTAAAGGCACAGAAAACATTTTCTTTTTCTCTTTTCCTTTCTTGGTTTTTTTGAGACAGCATTATTTTGTGTAGCCCTGTTTGTTCTAGAACTTGCTCTGTAGACCAAGCTGGCTTCAAACTCTACTCAACAGAGACCCACCTGCCTCTTGAGTGTTGAAATTCATCACGTACAGACCACCACTGCTTGGATAAAAAAAAAAATATTTTAAAAAGAAATCAAAACAAAAAAATTTCCAAAGTTAGAAGAGATGTCAAGCCAGATACAGGAGACAACAGAGAACCTTCCTTTGTTAAAATATAACTAAAATGCTTTTTGTAGTTTGCTTTCAGGTGCTGTGATAAAACACTGACCAAAAACCAACTTGGACAACAAACTGCTTTCATCTTACAGGTTAGTCTATTGTCAAGGGAAGCCAAAGTAGGAATGAAACTGAGGCCACTGAGGAATTCTGCTTACTGGCTTGCTTCCCTGGTTTGCTCAGTTACTTTTCTTACACAGCCCAGGCCTACTTGCCTAGGGATGGCAGCACCCATAGTGGGTTGGTGGCCCTTCTACATCAATTAGCAATTAAGAAAATGTCTCAAGGACTGGAGGGATGGCTCAGTGGTTAAGAGCACCATCTGCTCTTCCAGAGGTCCTGAGTTCAACTCCCAGCAACCACACGGTGGCTCACAACCATCTACAGTGAGACAGTGAGATCTGGCGCCCGCTTCTGGAGTGCAGGTGTGCACGCAGAGAGAACACTGTATATATAATAAATAAATAAATCTAAAAAAAAAAGAAAAGAAAAGAAAGAAAGAAAGAAAGAAAGAAAGGAAGGAAGAAAAAGAAAATACCTTAAAGATATACCCACAGGTCAATCTCATGGAAGAAATTCCTCAGGTGAGGGTCTTTCTTCCCTCATGTGTTAACAACTGAAGCTAACTATGACAAAACACTAAATACACAGAACAAAGAAAGTATAGTGACAGAAGCAAGAGAAAAACAAAAAGTCACACGAAAGGCAGGACCACTGGCACAATGCCAGATCATTCAGCTGAAACTTTAGAAGGCAGGAGGGCT